GATTCCCACACGGGTACAATGTGTGAAGCCCGTTTCGGGTGTCCCCCGCCGTGATATTGCTTGAATATTGCTAAAAGCGGCGTAAAACCACATTCACTCACACACTATGATTATAATGAAAGTAGACATATTTATTTAGGGATAAAATGAGCATGTGCTGTTATCACGAGATGATTACGTTAATATAAATAGGATATATGTCTTTTCGCTTATATAGTTTTACTGTCATGGATAAATCTAAATATTGAGATGAAGGGGTAATGTGTAGTGCTAAAATATGCTGATCACAGGGAAGTATATCATATGCTAAACAAAGTTATGCACATATTTTTATTGTTGCATATGTTTTCTATAAGCATGACACCATTCGTAAAAACAAAAGGGACAACAAACGTTCCATAAACATGAGAAATATCTGCTAAAAGAAGCGCCGATTGCACGATTCCGACAATGTCCTAAGCATGTGTTTATGAATCACTATCAAATAGTGATGACACCAGGCATTATGAATCACTATCAGATAGTGATAACACCAGGTGTTTATGAATCACTATCAAATAGTGATGACACCAGGCATTATGAATCACTATCAGATAGTGATAACACCAGGTGTTTATGAATCACTATCAAATAGTGATGACATCAGGTGTTTATGAATCACTATCAAATAGTGATGACACCGGGTGTTTATGAATCACTATCAAATAGTGATGACACCAGGTGTTTATGAATCACTATCAAATAGTGATGACACCAGGTGTTTATGAATCACTATCAAATAGTGATGACATCAGGTGTTTATGAATCACTATCAAATAGTGATGACACCAGGTGTTTATGAATCACTATCAAATAGTGATGACACCAGGTGTTTATGAATCACTATCAAATAGTGATGACACCAGGTGTTTATGAATCACTATCAAATAGTGATGACATCAGGTGTTTATGAATCACTATCAAATAGTGATGACACAAGGTGTTTATGAATCACTATCAAATAGTGATGACACCAGGTGTTTATGAATCACTATCAAATAGTGATGACATCAGGTGTTTATGAATCACTATCAAATAGTGATGACACGAGGTGTTTATGAATCACTATCAAATAGTGATGACACCAGGTGTTTATGAATCACTATCAAATAGTGATGACATCAGGTGTTTATGAATCACTATCAAATAGTGATGACACAAGGTGTTTATGAATCACTATCAAATAGTGATGACACCAGGTGTTTATGAATCACTATCAAATAGTGATGACATCAGGTGTTTATGAATCACTATCAAATAGTGATGACACAAGGTGTTTATGAATCACTATCAAATAGTGATGACACCAGGTGTTTATGAATCACTATCAAATAGTGATGACATCAGCTGTTTATGAATCAATATCAAATAGTGATGACACAAGGTGTTTATGAATCACTATCAAATAGTGATGACATCAGGTGTTTATGAATCACTATCAAATAGTGATGACACAAGGTGTTTATGAATCACTATCAAATAGTGATGACACCAGGTGTTTATGAATCACTATCAAATAGTGATGACATCAGGTGTTTATGAATCACTATCAAATAGTGATGACACAAGGTGTTTATGAATCACTATCAAATAGTGATGACACCAGGTGTTTATGAATCACTATCAAATAGTGATGACATCAGGTGTTTATGAATCAATATCAAATAGTGATGACACAAGGTGTTTATGAATCACTATCAAATAGTGATGACACCAGGTGTTAACGAAAAGGTGAACATACCCTGCCACACCGGTGCCACCCGCCACAGATGTTTATGCATTAACAAGCGATAGTCACGTGGCCATTAATGTTGTTTGTACGTTATTATATAGGGGTGTATATGTATGCTATTATGAAAAAAACCCGTTAAATCATTGTGGCGAAGGGGTGTACATGTTTGTATTAACACGTTGAAATACTGTTTTAAAAGGATGAATCTGTTATTATAACGTTAAAGCATTGTTATAAAGGGATGTATATGTTATAAAAACGTTAACAGGTTGTTATAAAGGGATGTATATGTTATTAGAAAAACGTTACAGCATTATTATAAAGTGATGTATGTGTTATTAGAAAGACGTTAAATCATGGTTATAAAGGAATTATATGTTATAAAAACGTTAAAGCATTGTTATAAAGGGATGTATATGTTATAAAAACGTTAACACGTTGTTACAATGGCATGTATATGTCATAAAAAACGTTACAACATTGTTATAAAGGGATGTATATGTTATTAGAAAAACGTTAAAGCATTATTATAAAGTGATGTATGTGTTATTATAAAAACGTTAAATCATGGTTATAAAGGATTGATATGTTATAAAAACGTTAAAACATTGTTATAAAAGTGTATATGTTATTATAAAAACATTAAAGCATTGTTAAAAAGGGGCGTATGTTTTAGGCAAGTACATTGTATGCATGGTAGTGTATTAGTGGTCCCTTTGAGTTCATTGTGACCTTAGTTTACTATAGATTTATTATTATCATGAATGTAATAAGTATAATCAGTTTGTCCATAACCTTACCTGCCTATCTTTACAGGTTGTATTGAATCTCAGCAAGGTAAGTAAGCTTTCGATGACATTGTAAGCGAAATAATTGGTTCTAACGTAATATAGAGTATAGTTACATCACACAGTTCCTCGTGAAGATCCACTTTAGAATTTATCTTCAGCAACCCATGCTTGTCGTAAGAGGCGGCTTGTCTTGGTTGATGAATGTCATCTTATCCCAGTAGCGTAGAATATCACACTGACAAAGGGATCACTTCCTGGGTCCTTAACTTACATAAAGTTTACATACAGTTCTTCAGGAACACATGCTTGCCGTAACAGTTGATTATGCTTGTCCTAAGAGGTGACTAACGTGATCGGGTGGTCAGGCTGGCTGACTTGGTTGATGCATGTCATGGTATCCCGATAGCGTAGATCGATGCTCATGATGTCAATCACTAGATTGTTTGGTTCAGACTCGATTATTCACAAACCGCGGTCATACAAATTGAATATTGCTGAGTGCGGCGTAAAACGTGAAACAACTACATAAAACCTTCACAGCGTGTGAGTGGTTTAACACCGCCTTGAACAGTCGTCCAGTTATACCACGGCATTAGCTTGATGTGGGAGGAAAGCCCGAAGTGATGCAGATCTTAGACATTTAGATGTTATCTATTTATACTTTTAAGACCTTACATGTTTCATTGTAATAAGAAATTATTAATATGTATAAAGGGAATAGATCGCCGCTGCCCCTGTAAGTGTCATGGACACTTCTTATAAATCCGGGCGGTCGGGTAGCCTAGTGGTTAAAGCGTTCACTCGTCACGCCGAAGATCTGGGTTCGACTTACCACATGGGTACAATGTCTGAAGCGGCGTAAAACCATACTCACTCACTCCTATAAATCCGTTTACCTATATCACATCTCGATACTGATAAATACTGAGTCAATACAATTTTGATAAAAGTTTTCATTTTCATAAACCCATGATGTTATAATTATTTATTGCATTTTGTCTCGTGGTAATATATTGATATAAATGTATTGTACGAGGGATAGTCACGATGCCCGTAATCACCTGCATGTTATCACCCTCAATCTACCTGCCTTCGCTGTGTAGTGGAAATAGCGCCTTCACTGAGAGCGGAAGGTCGGTGGTTCGAATGACATTAAAAGATGGTACTTGTTGTTACCCTGTCTGGCGCTCGGCATTAAGGGGCTAAAACAAGGACTGGTCGGCTCAGAGTCAGTATACTGCGTCTAAGTGGTGTATTCATGCTGGTCTGCGGCATGGTATCTCAGTGGGCTAACACTATGAATCCGGGGGACGGTCGGGTAGCCTACTGGTTAAAGCTTTCGCTCGTCACGCCGAAGACCCATGTTCGATTCCCGACATGGGTACAATGTGTGAAGCCCATTTCCGGTGTCCCCCGCCGGGTTATTGCTGGAATATTGCTAAAAGCGGCGTAAAACCATACTCACTCACTTACTCACTCACTATAAATTGCGCAAAGACACACATACACAATCATGCACGTCGCTACGTAGTTTCAATAATCTTGAACGTGAATTTGAAAAAGCATTTCACCTCACCACCTGACCTCAATCCGCCAATACCCAGCTAGTACCGTAGAGAAGTGTATTACTGATTAACGATGTGTCGTTCAGATGCGTGTGTTGTTGATGCTGCTACTGTTGCCGCTGGCTAATGGTGACTTGGATACGAGTGTCTGTTCCCCGCTGCCACCTCAACCCCCAGCAGGTACGTCTACTACCACGACTACATAAAATAGCCATTTACAAAATCGTTGATCTTTAGCAACCCATGCCTGTCGTAAGAGGCGACTAACAGGATCGGGCGGTCAGGCTTGCTGACTTGGTTGATGAGTGTCATCGTATCCCTAGTGCATGGATCAATGCTCATGACATCAATCACTGGGTTGTCTGTTCCAGACTCGATTATTTACAGACCGCCGTCATAGAGCTGAAATATTGCGGCGTTAAACAACAAAGAAACAAACAAACATCCCAGCCTACGTAGACCGATGCTCATGACATCAATCACTGGTTTGTTATGGTCCAGACTCGATAATTACAGACCGCCGTCATATGGTTGGAATATTGATGAGTGCGGTGTTAAACAACAAACAAAACAAATATCACATTTTAAAAAATGATGCATCGAAGTTCGGGACACGTGATATCGGTAACTCTTATCATGTAGACAAAAAACAAACAAATACGATTTAGGTGATGTTTAATGATGTTAAATGATGTTTCAGTGGTGGTAAGACCAGTCATCCCCAACACGTTTGAGGTTCACGTGGACTGTGTCATCGTCAACAAAAACATGACCACGGAGGTTCACGAACACTTCGATGACGTAAACAACAGAGGAATGATTGAACAGCATTCTTACAACGAGGAATACGTGGGTTATTACGACTACACTCACAACGAATTCATCGGGATGTTCCCTCATCAAGGTGCGTTGCCCAATACCGAGTTACGTCCCTTGAACAAAGGAGAGTGCAAGCGTTGCCCAATACCGAGTTACGTCCCTTGAACAAAGGAGAGTGCAAGCGTTGCCCAATACCGAGTTACGTCCCTTGAACAAAGGAGAGTGCAAGCGTTGCCCAATACCGAGTTACGTCCCTTGAACAAAGGAAAGTGCAAGCGTTGCCCAATACCGAGTTACGTCCCTTGAACAAAGGAAAGTGCAAGCGTTGCCCAATACCGAGTTACGTCCCTTGAACAAAGGAAAGTGCAAGCGTTGCCCAATACCGAGTTACGTCCCTTGAACAAAGTAGAGTGCGTGTCGTGAACAACAAAACAATACGCGATTATCAATGGTCCGAATTATGCGGACTCGACACCGAATTGACCATCATCACAAGTCACAAACAATAATGGTCGGTCGGAAATAAGAAATGGTACTCTGTTATGTGGCTTTTAAATTCAATTAATGTTTCAACAACTTTTGTAGTAGTTGCAGTAGTAGTAGTAGTAGTAGTAGTAGTAGTAGTAGTAGTAGTAGTAGTAGTAGTAGTAGTAATAATAATAGTAGTAGCAGCAGCAGCAGTAGTATACTATAGTAACAACTGCATTATTATTATTAATATTATTATTATTATTATTATTATTATCATTATTATTAGTGACAGATTAAAATTAAAAATGCAGCAAAGAGGGTTTGGGTGATCCTGGCACAGTCAGGCTGGTTAGGCTCATCATCAGCTCAGGGCCCTTGCCCCCTCTACACGCAGCCCAGACAGCGAATGGGACTTTCCCATGAAGCGCTGCCTAGTCAAACCCCCATTCGAACTTTTCGGAGAATGTGAAGACTCCCCAACAATGCAGCCTTCTGCATTACCCAATGCTATTCCTGGTAGCCAACCCGGGTACTCTCCCAATTCCAGTCAACAGATTGGGAGGTACCAAACCTAAGCCACCGAGATCAATGGGGACACGGACTTGGGATGCAAGCGTGACATTTCGATAGCGAGGTCCGCATATTCGCCATGTTTTTACTCAATCTTGTCAATCACAATGGTGTCAACGGGGACAGAAAATTCAATGATATTAATGATTTCATTGGATTTTTCAAAAAGGACAAGATCAGGTTTGTTGGCCTGGATACGCTGTAAATCGGCCTGTTCCAAAGAGTTTTGTATTTATCATTTTCCATGACGCTCTCTACATATTCCGGGTCGTACCATGGATGGACCTCTGTGTCAAAACCACAAGCATGGCGAAGACGGTAATAAAATGATAGAGCTACACCATCATGTCGTTTAAGATACTGTGTTTGTGCGAAAGCTGGGCATCCACTCACAATGTGTTGGGCAGTCTCATTAAATTTATTGCATAATCTACATAGTCATTTCATAATTTACATTTTGATGCAAAATCACACATTGACGGTTTCGAGTGGGAAGTGACTGGTCCTGAGCAGCGAACAGAAAGCCTTCAGTTTCACTTTTCAGGCCAGCCGACTTCATCCAAGCTAGGACTCTGCAGGGTTGCTAATAACAACACACTGAACATTTTCGCAATGCAGTGGTCGTTCAGATAGCCTCTCCTTGAAAATCTGAGTCCGGGCCGATTTGATATTGCACATGGATTGGCTGACACATATTTCTGTACCGTCCAGCAGTACAGAACAATCAACAAAATCAACACTGACATTGAGATTATGTCCCACATCCTTGGCTCATTTAAGAAAACTGTGGAACGCCATGTTTTCATCATGAGTCTTGACATGCTTCACAAGAGGATCATCAGACAAATAGATGTGTGCAAAAGTGCACAATACAATTCTTTCTTGAAGGGCATCCACGTAAATCAAACCACGCCCTCCCATTATGATTGGTAAATATGAGCGATTTAGGGAAGAGCGAGGGTGGTGGGATCTATTGTATCTCCTACTTCTTTTTCTTCTTCTCATTATTATTAGTGTTGTTGTTGTTGATTATTATCATCATCATCATCATCATCATCATGATCGTCGTCGTCGTCGTCGACGTCGTTGTTGTTATTATTATTATTTATTTTATTTGTATTTATTTATTTTTAATTTTTATTTATTTTTAATTTTTATTATTATTATTATTATTATTATTATTATTATTATTATTATTATTATTATTACAGGCAGATGTGAAGTATCAAACTTGTCTTCATCTGACCAGCGCTTCCTGTTCGGGTACAAACCTACACATGGGCATGGTCACATCTTCACCGCTTCAGGGGCGATGCACTTTGGGGCCAATGAGACTGAGAAGTACCTGGGATCGAGTCAGGTGCGCGGGATCTGGGTTCGGGGATGGCAGTCCTGTCAGTACTGGGCCGGAATGAAAGCGTCCATGAATGTCACGTGGTATTTCTCTGGTAAGTACGTGTTGCTAAATCGTGTGGTAATCGATCATCGGAGGCTGTTGTTCACTCCGCAGGAAGCAATATTCACGAGCTGTATCATGGCAGCCTTTGTCTACTGGAGTCTGGATCATACAAACCAGTGATTAAGGACACACCAGTCTGGGCACGAAGCCATGCGCCCTCGACGGCATCGATCAGAGTGTTATCGATCTGTCATAACATTGGGAGTTATCACCTCCATGTCATCGATCTGTCCTAACATTGAGAGTAATCTCCTTTATGTCATCGATCTGAGGTAACATTGAGAGAAATTCACTCCATGTCATCGATCTGTCGTAACATTGAGAGTAATCACCCCGCGTCATGGATCTGTCCTGACATTGGGAGTAATTAACTCCATGTCATCGGTCTGTCCTAACATTGAGAGTACTTAATTACATGTCATCGATATGTTGTAACATTGAGAGTAATTAACTCCATGTTATCGATCTGTCGTAACATTGAGAGTAATTAACTCCCTGTCATAGATCTGTCCTAACATTGAGAGTAATTAACTCCATGTTATCGATCTGTCGTAACATTGAGAGTAATTAACTCCATGTTATCGATCTGTCGTAACATTGAGAGTAATTAACTCCCTGTCATAGATCTGTCGTAACATTTAGAGTAATTAACTTCATGTCATCGATCTGTCGTAACATTGAGAGTAATTAATTACATGTCATAGATCTGTCCTGACATTGAGAGTAATTAACTCCATAACATCGATCTGTCCTAACATTGAGAGTAATTAACTCCATGTTATCGATCTGTCGTAACATTGAGAGTAATTAACTCCCTGTCATAGATATGTCCTTTCATTTAGAGTAATTCACTTCATGTCATCGATCTGTCCTAACATTGAGAGTAATTAATTCCATGTCATCGATCTGTCGTAACAATATGTACGGAGACAGATCTTATTTCCCAAGGGGCCGGTCGACAACTTATAATATAGTCCATCACTCGAAAATATCCTGATGTTATCACGTACATGTGTAGTGAAGGCAACGACGTACAGTCAAACACGGTTGTGTCGAACATTGATGTGTCGAACGTACAGTTGACTCGAAGCCTAAGCTTCGTCTCTGCGTATTCCTTCTTTCCTTCGGTTGTGTTAAACCTCGGATAATTTGAAGTATTTACGTAGGTGCAACTTCGACACAGCGGTGATTGGCTATATGTTATGTTTTCATGCTTACAGGATCCACATCACGCCTATAATGATACGTGACGTAATTGGCATGTGACGTCAACAATGTATTTCTCATTACAAATATGTTTACGTATGAACTTGTATTTTAAGTCGCTTACTGTAGGGATAAATTTTTCATTTTTAAAATTTTATTCTTTTATTGCATTTATCAACATTTTACAGGCAACAAATAACAATCGACTCCGGATATTATGAAATAGCGTCTATCGCTGAACACATTGAACAGTACTAGGAACGTGTATATAGACTCTAAAAAATAGAGTTTGACATGGCAACCGGAACTTATACAAGGAATTTATGTTACAATCTATTAAAGAGGATCATTTAGTGATCATGTAGTATTGTTTTACTTCATTCTGGAAATTGTTATAGAATGGTGACATAATTTTGTGAAACTTACTTTTGAAAATCAAAGTTTTAATAAATATAATAATTATTATGTTGATTGGATCATTGTTTCTACTTGGATAACCAAGTAGTGCATGTCTCTTTTTAATTTTGAAGTTTCTTTTATTGTAAAGCAATATTTCAAGTAATTTCTAGATAAATTATAACTTTTAACTGCAATCCCTGAAAATATGAGTGATTTTACGACAGTAACCTATGTTTATAACGAACATGCTTATACCTAACTGACGGATATAACGAACTGTTTTGGGGTCCCGTCCATTTCCTGTATATAGGCTGTACATATGCCCATAACGAACTACGATTATAACGAACTAACATTAATGGTCCCTTCTAGTTCGTTGTAACCGTAGTTTACTGTACGTCTATCTACATATCCTATTTTTGACAAGAAATTTTTTATTGGTAAGAAATGGTGTAAAAATCTTATATCTTTTATACATCTAAAAGGAATTACAATCTGTAAAATAACGTCCCATTTTGTCGAGCGTTTTGGCATAACTAACAGTTAATGAGTAAACAACGGTTATAACGAACTCAAATGGACCACTAATTTAAGTTCGTTATAACCGTAGTTCGTTATAAGCGTACATACAGCATCTATACAGCAAATGACGGGGACTAAAAATTAAGTTCGTAATATCCATCAGGTCTTTATAAGCGTGTTCGTTATAAACGTTTTTACTGTAGTAATATTGAGTTTGTGAAAATTTGCAATAAATTATTATAATTGTGTATATTATGGGGGTTGGATTGGGTAAGGTAGTTTTTGAATCTATGTAGGCGTTCAGAAAGTATTGTTTTGACATGCCCTTATCATCGATAAGCTAAGATACACTTGGCGGGATTGGGTAAGGTAGTTTTTGAATCTATGTAGGCGTTCAGAAAGTATTGTTTTGACATGCCCTTATCATCGATAAGCTAAGATAAACTTGGCGACATCCTCTAGAAATATCAAACATGGCAGAACCATAGCCATTTACAGGCACATTATATTGAATATAACATTTTAAACCATAAAAATAGATAATATGTTTGAAAAAATTCAGAGTTTGCTTACAATATTCCAAATCATCCGTTTATTTTCAGACCCGAATATCTGGGACACTTCTCTTGGCGTGCCACAGGTGCCTGTCCGATGTCACGTGATAGGCAAGGTCCAAGACACGTTCAGCAAATCACACGATTTTGAACATTACTACGAGTTTGTGCATTTTAGGGACCACATTAAGGACCCAAGAGTTTTCGAGGTAAATACCTACACAACTACTGCTCAGAGGTTGTTTCATCAAGGCTACAACATTCAAGGCCTCAGCACAAATTTCAAAAAATTTTAGGGTACACATGTGGAAGACATTTCCAAATTTGACGAATGTTTGACAAAAATTATGGCCGATGCAATTCCCTATTTTGATTTGTACCGTATATTCTCGTGTTTTTTAAGTGAACAATTGATTTGGCTTTGCATGTGTTTGTGACGGGTGCCGCCGGTGGGGCAGGATGTGTTCACCCCTGGTATCATTACTATTTGATAGTGATTTATAAACACATGCTCATGATATACTGGTAGTATATCGACTTAATTTTGGAGAGATCTTATAATTATGGCAAGGGTTTGAAGCTGGTTTTTTAAAATTATCTCTTACAATCTCTTGATAGCATTCCCGTGGGTAATGCGGCCGTGAATATGCAGCGAATATTCCAGCGTTGTTAAAACGAGGATAAGGGGACTGCATTGTGTGACGTGGCTTGTTGTTCTTCTTCGTGTGCCAATGATATGCTCGTTGTATCAACCACTGGTTTGCCAGGTCCCGACAGTGATGGAATGAATGCTACTGATTGCGGCGTATACAAGCCTTGACCTCCTCGTTGTTAGCCTGATATTCGAAGCCGGAAATGGACTTCCTTCCTGGACATGATTCTAATTTAATTCGTCCTCCTTTTAAAACTCGTGCAGGACCGGGTTAGAAAAAGTCTTTAGCAAACCATGCTCGCAGTAAAAGGCGACTGTGCTTGTCATAAGAAGCGACTAACGGGACCGGTTGGTCAGGCTCGCTGACTTGGTTGAAGCATGTCATCGATCCCAATTGCGTTGATCGATGCTCATGGTGTCAATTACTGGATTGTCTGCTCCAGACTCGATTATTTATAGATCGCCGTCATATGGCTGGCGTATTGCTGAGTGCAGCGTCAAACAAACAAACAAACAAACAATCTCACGTGAAGCTGACATCATGAGCATCGATCTATGCAATTGGGATACGATCACATGCATCAACCAAGTCAGTGAGCCTGACCACTCGATCCCGTTAGTCGACTCTTACGACAAGCATAGTCACCTTTTAGCTCATGTATTGGTTGCTGCCATGTGAGAGGAAAAATAACCCTGTGTAAGTATAAAACGTTACGGTCAGAAACAAACAAGACCATAGACGTAAAAGGCGGTGACATTTCAAAGGTTTGCTTACAGAAAATCAGTGATGACCCGGGGTGTTCGCGAACAGGGTTAAAGCATGTAATCTACGAGTAGGAATGAGATCCTAACAACCAAGCATCATAATCGGGGTGAATCAGAATTTGGCTCCAGGATCATCAGATCCTAACGTGTCTAAGGGACGCAACTCTACACATCGAGTTGACGTGCCTTAGAGTTCAGGGCACCCGGTGACCCCCTTTAGTTCACAATATGCAAGAATATATCGAGATAACGGCATTTCCGGATTTACATGACTGAAAAGAACCGTATCGGATGAAGTACACCTATGTGAGAATTATTTGGGGTTTTTTCAGATGGACGCGAGTGTCGTGTGTCCGGGGCGTATCAATACCAAGAGTTTACCTAATGTCCCGGATGTCCTGTCAATGGGTGTGGAGCAGGTGGACGAAGTACAGAAGGTTGCAACCTTCACGTCGGTAAGACAATGTCATCATGGACGCCTGGTGTTGTCTACTTTCATCAACATCACATTTCCAGTCGCCCCATTTCTCATTCATGCAGTAAAATGTAATTAATAATATACCTAGCGTCATTGACGGGTCACGCGTAATAAGAGATAGAGCGTCACATTTTCAACTTCCATGAGTGTAGTCCTCTTGCTGGAATGAACTATTTTATAGAAATAGAAACATTTCAGCGCATGGGCTAACCCCAGGCTGCATTAGGTGTTTTGGGGTAGCTTTTTCCTTCATTCTTACACTTACTTTTCATTTTTTCACGAAAGCATCCAACTGTTAATCCTATTGTCCACATACTTAATCCTATTGACGCTTGTTGGATTATATCCTTGTTTTAACACGCTACAAACCAAGGTGTTCCTTCATTAATGACGCTGAGTTTGAACTAAAGGTCAATATAGATCTTTATCGTATAATTAGCAGTGGGATAGTCAGATCAATGAAAGTGACATCAATGAATAAATTACCACCTCTGTCCAGTGACAATAAACTGAAACTAGTCAAAACCCACTTGTCATGGTTCAAAGTCAGGAACCGAGGCACTTTTATCAAGAATCTGACATTCGAAGACAGGGTCATGCCCGCGATACATCCCAAGCGACGCAACTCTGCACAGCGAATCGTGCCGCCTTAGACGACTGGGCCACCAGTATCCTTAGAGTGCTGAGTACCGTTAATATTTTGAATATAATATCGCCAAACCAAGTTCAATTGAAAATCAAACTGATGAGGTATTGTTTCTTTTGCCCCTAAGCTGCATGGTTGTTTCCTGTAATAATACTATTTCTAGGAATGGTTCGATGCCAGGATGAAGCTCACCAGGTTCGACATGACCCCGAGCTTAATGTCGGCGTCCAAGTATGGAACTAATAGGCTGAGCATTGTTAGAGACTTTCATACAGGTAGGTGTATTTAGGAGATAAACATACCGTGTTTTCAATGTAGAGCTAGGTTACCTGTAGATTTAACAGCGCTTAATTGAATTTGGAGGTTTCAAATGTTAAATTTAGCGCGGTTTAGATTCGATTTAGAGCGAAATATATTGCCACACATTCTTTGAATATTGTAGTAACCGCATATGTGCATATTGTAACCTGTAATTGTAGATATAATTATTTAAGTATGCCTACCGACAATGACTGAAAATAGTACTATTCTATGAATATTAGCTTTCGCCGTTAGGCGGCCGTCAAACCAGCTGTTTCAATCTGATTGACCAATCAGAGTCGAGTAAATTCCAAATTCATGGTAGAATATAAGGGTAACGCTATTTTTCAGGGCATTATCATTTGCAGAAGCCCGAGATCTTCCATAAACTGCCCGACGATGGACGATGCTTCTGCAAATGATAATGCCCTGAAAAAATAACGTTACCGTTATTATAGCTAAAATGGATGTATTTTGTTATAAAATGAAAAGAAACAACAATATCGGTTTTGAAACAGTTACTGCAATCAACATGAATGTCACAGAACCACCTTTACAAATATGGAAACGTCATAGAACAAACCAGATGACGTCACTATTGAACGTGACGTCACCTATCCCTATCCCTATGACGTCACCTAACAACGGACGTGATAATGGCCCGTCGTCAAGCAGTATGAGGGCATTATCAAGTTACAGTGGCCCTCTCATTTCTGATAACATGCGGGCGGTTTAATGATAATTCTATCCATTTTGGCTATTTTAGCAATTAGTGGATTGTCTCGTCCAGATCATTTACAGACCATCGTCTTATAGCTGGAATATTGCTGAGTGCGGCGTTAAACGACAAACAACAAACATTGCATTGCACCCTCATGAATCGTCTAAGGGGCGTAACTCTGCATAAATATCGGGGCCTTAGAATATTGTGCTAGCCGCGCCTTTAGAAAATGAAAGTGAACGGCCGTCATGAAATGTATCAGATGTGATAAATACATACCCTGACAACAACTCAATGTAGATGAGGGAGTTTTCATAACCTTTTCGTTGGTATGCTCCAAACTCTTCTACTACTCTGTATCTGTGGTGGTATACAGTACGTGAAGGACAGTATCCTTGGCAACTCTTCTGTTACTTCTGTCTCTATGTAGGTATACAGTATGTGGAGGACAGTATCCACAGCAACATTTCTGGTACTTCTGTCTCTGTGGAGGTATACAGTATGTGAAGGACAGTATCCTTGGCTACTCTTCTGTTACTTCTGTCTCTGTGGAGGTATACAGTTTCTGAAGGACAGTATCCTTGGCTACTCTTCTGTTACTTCTGTCTCTGTGGAGGTATACAGTATGTGAAGGACAGTATCCTTGGCAACTCTTCTGTTACTTCTGTCTCTGTGGAGGTATACAGTATGTGAAGGACAGTATCCTTGGCAACTCTTCTGTTACTTCTGTCTCTGTGGAGGTATACAGTATGTGAAGGACAGTATCCTTGGCAACTCTTCTGTTACTTCTGTCTCTGTGGAGGTATACAGTATGTGAAGGACAGTATCCACAGCAACATTTCTGGTACTTCTGTCTCTGTGGAGGTATACAGTATGTGAAGGACAGTATCCATAGCAACATTTCTGTTACTTCTGTCTCTGTGGAGGTATACAGTATGTGAAGAACAGTATCCATAGCAACATTTCTGTTACTTCTGTCTCTGTGGAGGTATACAGTATGTGAAGGACAGTATCCTTGGCTACTCTTCTGTTACTTCTGTCTCTGTGGAGGTATACAGTATGTGAAGGACAGTATCCTTGGCTACTCTTCAGTTGCTTCTGTCTCTGTGGAGGTATACAGTATGTGAAGGACAGTATCCTTGGCAACTCTTCTGTTACTTCTGTCTCTGTGGAGGTATACAGTATGTGAAGGACAGTATCCTTGGCAACTCTTCTGTTACTTCTGTCTCTGTGGAGGTATACAGTATGTGAAGGACAGTATCCTTGGCTACTCTTCTGTTACATCTGTCTTTGTGGAGGTATACAGTATGTGAAGGACAGTATCTTTGGCAACTCTTCTGTTACTTCTGTCTCTGTGGAGGTATACAGTATGTGAAGGACAGTATCCTTGACAACGCTTCTGTTACTTCTGTCTCTGTGGAGGTATACAGTATGTGAAGGACAGTATCCTTGGCAACTCTTCTGTTACTTCTGTCTCTGTGGAGGTATACAGTATGTGAAGGACAGTATCCTTGGCAACTCTTCTGTTACTTCTGTCTCTGTGGAGGTATACAGTATGTGAAGGACAGTATCCACAGCAACATTTCTGGTACTTCTGTCTCTGTGGAGGTATACAGTATGTGAAGGACAGTATCCATAGCAACATTTCTGTTACTTCTGTCTCTGTGGAGGTATACAGTATGTGAAGAACAGTATCCATAGCAACATTTCTGTTACTTCTGTCTCTGTGGAGGTATACAGTATGTGAAGGACAGTATCCTTGGCTACTCTTCTGTTACTTCTGTCTCTGTGGAGGTATACAGTATGTGAAGGACAGTATCCTTGGCTACTCTTCAGTTGCTTCTGTCTCTGTGGAGGTATACAGTATGTGAAGGACAGTATCCTTGGCAACTCTTCTGTTACTTCTGTCTCTGTGGAGGTATACAGTATGTGAAGGACAGTATCCTTGGCAACTCTTCTGTTACTTCTGTCTCTGTGGAGGTATACAGTATGTGAAGGACAGTATCCTTGGCAACTCTTCTGTTACATCTGTCTTTGTGGAGGTATACAGTATGTGAAGGACAGTATCTTTGGCAACTCTTCTGTTACTTCTGTCTCTGTGGAGGTATACAGTATGTGAAGGACAGTATCCTTGACAACGCTTCTGTTACTTCTGTCTCTGTGGGGGTATACAGTATGGGAAGGACAGTATCCTTGGCAACTCTTCTGTTATTTCTGTCTTTGTGGAGGTATACAGTATGTGAAGGACAGTATCCTTGGCAACTCTTCTGTTACTTCTGTCTCTGTGGAGGTATACAGTATGTGAAGGACAGTATCCACAGCAACATTTCTGGTACTTCTGTCTCTGTGGAGGTATACAGTATGTGAAGGACAGTATCCATAGCAACATTTCTGTTACTTCTGTCTCTGTGGAGGTATACAGTATGTGAAGAACAGTATCCATAGCAACATTTATGTTACTTCTGTCTCTGTGGAGGTATACAGTATGTGAAGGACAGTATCCTTGGCTACTCTTCTGTTACTTCTGTCTCTGTGGAGGTATACAGTATTTGAAGGACAGTATCCTTGGCTACTCTTCAGTTGCTTCTGTCTCTGTGGAGGTATACAGTATGTGAAGGACAGTATCCTTGGCAACTCTTCTGTTACTTCTGTCTCTGTGGAGGTATACAGTATGTGAAGGACAGTATCCTTGGCAACTCTTCTGTTACTTCTGTCTCTGTGGAGGTATACAGTATGTGAAGGACAGTATCCTTGGCAACTCTTCTGTTACATCTGTCTTTGTGGAGGTATACAGTATGTGAAGGACAGTATCTTTGGCAACTCTTCTGTTACTTCTGTCTCTGTGGAGGTATACAGTATGTGAAGGACAGTATCCTTGACAACGCTTCTGTTACTTCTGTCTCTGTGGAGGTATACAGTATGGGAAGGACAGTATCCTTGGCAACTCTTCTGTTATTTCTGTCTTTGTGGAGGTATACAGTATGTGAAGGACAGTATCCTTGGCAACTCTTCTGTTACTTCTGTCTCTGTGGAGGTATACAGTATGTGAAGGACAGTATCCTTGGCAACTCTTCTGTTACTTCTGTCTCTGTGGAGGTATACAGTATGTGAAGGACAGTATCCTTGGCAACTCTTCTGTTACTTCTGTCTTTGTGGAGGTATACAGTATGTGAAGGACAGTATCCTTGGCAACTCTTCTGTTACTTCTGTCTCTGTGGAGGTATACAGTTTGTGAAGGACAGTATCCCTGGCAACTCTTCTGTTGCTTCTGTCTTTGTGGAGGTATACAGTATGTGAAGAACAGTATCCATAGCAACATTTCTGTTACTTCTGTCTCTGTGAAGGTATACAGTATGTGAAGAACAGTATCCATAGCAACATTACTTGTACCTCTGTCTCTGTGTAGGTATACAGTATGTGAAGGACAGTATCCACAGCAACATTTCTTGTACTTCTGTCTCTGTGTAGATATACAGTATGTGAAGGACAGTATCCTTGGCAACTCTTCTGTTACATCTGTCTCTGTGTAGGTATACAGTATGTGAAGGACAGTATCCTTGGCAACTCTTCTGTTCCATCTGTCTTTGTGGAGGTATACAGTATGTGAAGGACAGTATCCATAGCAACATTTCGGGTACTTCTGTATCTGTGTAGGTATACAGTATGTAAAGAACAGTATCCATAGCAACATTTCTTGTACTTCTGTCTCTGTGGAGGTATACAGTATGTGAAGGACAGTATCCTTGGCAACTCTTCTGTTACATCTGTCTCTGTGGTGGTATACAGTATGTGAAGGACAGTATCCATAGCAAAATTTCTTGTACTTCTGTCTCTGTGTAGGTATACAGTATGTGAAGGACAGTATCCTTGGCAACTCTTCTGTTACATCTGTCTCTGTGGTGGTATACAGTATGTGAAGGACAGTATCCACAGCAACATTTCTTGTACTTCTGTCTCTGTGTAGGTATACAGTATGTGAAGGACAGTATCCTTGGCAACTCTTCTGTTACTTCTGTCTCTTTGTAGGTATACAGTTTGTGAATGACAGTATCCTTGGCAACTCTTCTGTTACATCTGTCTCTGTATAGGTATACAGTATGTGAAGGACAGTATCCTTGGCAACTCTTCTGTTACATCTGTCTCTGTGGAGGTATACAGTATGTGAAGGACAGTATCCATAGCAACATTTCTTGTACTTCTGTCTCTGTGGAGGTATACAGTATGTGAAGGACAGTATCCTTGGCAACTCTTCTGTTACATCTGTCTCTGTGGAGGTATACAGTATGTGAAGGACAGTATCCATAGCAACATTTCTTGTACTTCTGTCTCTGTGTAGGTATACAGTATGTGAAGGACAGTATCCTTGGCAACTCTTCTGTTACATCTGTCTCTGTGAAGGTATACAGTATGTGAAGGACAGTATCCACAGCAACATTTCTGTTACTTCTGTCTCTGTGGAGGTATACAGTATGTGAAGGACAGTATCCTTAGCAACATTTCTTGTACTTCTGTCTCTGTGGAGGTATACAGTATGTGAAGGACAGTATCCTTGGCCACTCTTCTGTTACTTCTGTCTCTGTGCAGGTATACAGTACGTGAAGGACACGGTCCTCGGCAACTGTTCCGTGACTTCCCTGACCCAGGACAACTGGGACGACAGGATGCAGGACCCCCAACATGTGCGGATAGCCACCGCGCAGGAGTTCTTCCATTTCGACAATACCTATAGTTACACAGGCCTGGTAAATAATGCACTTTGTTATCTCATATAAATTATTGGAGGCCACAATGATATTATATTTGTTTATTTATTTGTTCAATTTTCAATCAAATCACGACATGATATTATATAACACTTAACTATCCTCTATAACTATAAAGTTTTGGAAATGTATATTGTTGTATGGTGGTGTCTCGCTAAATGACTTATTAGCCTTCCTGACCCGTGAAGATCCATGCTTGTCGTAAAAGCCGACTGTGCTTGTCGTAAAAGGCGACTAACTGGATCAGGTGGTCAGGCTCGCTGACTTGGTTGATGCATGTCATCGTATCCCAATTGCCTGGGTCGATGCGCATGATATCTATCACTGCTTTGTGTCTAACAATATAGAAGCAAGCAAAACTGTACCCAGGTACTTAATGGCTTATCATGCCAAGATATGGCTAGCATTAAACGAAATAGGGTAAACACGACAATCGGTTGCCTCCCTCATCACTGGATGTAGCATTACTGTCTCGTCAATGCATAGCTTGTCAACAAGGTCCAAGGCCTTACTAACTTGCATGCTAAAGTGATTAAAATTGCTTCAGGTTATGAGATATAGAGAATCTCACGAGTTGATAAAAGTGGGAAAACTCCGAGGCTTGCCGAGGATTTTTTCCACTTTTATCAACGAGTGTTGATATATTTCATATCATAAGACACGAGGGTGAGATTTTATTTATCATCCAACATCATTCTTCTTCCAATTTTTTCAGTTTGTAGACAGTAATTAGCAGTGTCTTAAGTGTAAAAAGTACTGCTTACAGCTTCAGTAGCAGAGCCATTAGTGATGTCATATGATTGTGACGTCATGGTAACCAATGACGTCACAATGGTCTGCAAAGCATTGTGATGCAATTTCATTGCAGCGATATCTACAGTGTAGATATCGCTTGATCTCACCAAGGCGATATCTCCTGTGGGAGCCAAATGAAGATCTATCAAGAGACAATCAAACCCTTCAGTCAAAAGCTTTATGTGTTTGAAGGTAAACGTGTTTTTTTTCCAAAGAACCACCTTTCGATTTTTAGTAATTCTTCACACACATTTTTATTTCTTATTCTGACAACTTATATCCCAAACATTATTCTAGTCGATTTGACAAACTGACATTAAAGACGATATGTTTCTGTTTAAAATCATCTATTGTCGTTGCTTCATTCAGATACGTGTTTAAAACGGTTGAGCTATTTGTCTACTTCCTCAGAAATCAATCCGCAACGTTGACTGTGACACGTGGTTGTCCCTCAGGACGGACTACCCGCCGAGTATGCCTACCAACTCTACCTGGGAGTGGGCCTTTGTCTCCGTAAGTGTCCTTTCTTACATTTCGCTCGCTTAGTGCTGTGTTCATTCTAACGTTTCTCTCGCTAAGTGCTGTGTTCATTCTAACATTTCTCTCGGGAAGTGCTGTGTTCATTCTAACATTTCTCTCGGTGTTTGCTGTTTTCATCCTAAGATTTCTCTCGGTAAGTGCTGTGTTCATTCTAACATTTCTCTCGGTAAGTGCTGTGTTCATTCTAACATTTCTCTCGGGAAGTGCTGTTTTCATTCGAACATTTCTCTCGGTGTGTGCTGTTTTCATCCTAAGATTTCTCTCGGTAAGTGCTGTGGTCTTTCGAACATTTCTCTCGGTGAGTGCTGTGGTCTTTCGAACATTTCTCTCAGTAAGTGCTGTGTTCAGTCGTACATTTCCCTCGGCAACTTTTAACGTTTCTCTCGGTGTGGGCTGTTTTCATTCTAACATTTCTCTCGGTGAGTCCTGTTTTCATTATAACATTTCTCTCGGTGAGTCCTGTTTTCATTATAACAATTCGCTCGATAAGTCCTAGGCCTGTGTTCATTATAACATTTCTCTCGGTGAGTCCTGTGTTCATTATAACATTTCTCTCGGTGAGTCCTGTGTTCATTCTAACATTTCTCTCGGTGAGTCCTGTGTTCATTCTAACATTTCTCTCGGTGAGTCCTGTGTTCAATCTAACATTTCTCTCGGTGAGTCGTGTGTTCATTGTAACATTTCTCTCGGTGAGTCCTGTGTTCATTATAAGATTTCTCTCGGTGAGTCCTGTTTTCATTATAACATTTCTCTCGGTGAGTCCTGTGTTCTTTATAACATTTCTCTCGGTGAGTCCTGTGTTCATTGTAACATTTCTCTCGGTGAGTCCTGTGTTCATTATAATATTTCTCTCGGTGAGTCCTGTGTTCATTCTAACGTTTCTCTCGGTGAGTCCTGTGTTCATTCTAACATTTCGCTCGGTAAGTCCTGTGTTCATTATAACATTTCTCTCGGTAAGTCCTCTGTTCATTATAACATTTCTCTCGGTAAGTCCTCTGTTCATTATAACATTTCTCTCGGTGAGTCCTGTGTTCATTATAACATTTCTCTCGATAAGTCCTGTGTTCATTATAACATTTCTCTCGGTAAGTCCTCTGTTCATTCTAACATTTCGCTCGGTAAGTCCTAGGCCTGTGTTCATTCTAACATTTCGCTCGGTAAGTCCTGTGTTCATTATAACATTTCTCTCGGTAAGTCCTCTGTTCATTATAACATTTCTCTCGGTGAGTCCTGTGTTCATTCTAACATTTCTCTCGGTAAGTCCTCTGTTCATTCTAACATTTCGCTCGATAAGTCCTAGGCCTGTGTTCATTCTAACATTTCTCTCGGTGAGTCCTGTGTTCATTCTAACATTTCACTCGGTGAGTCCTGTGTTCATTCTAACATTTCTCTCGGTGAGTCCTGTGTTCATTCTAATATTTCTCTCGGTGAGTCCTGTGTTCATTCTAATATTTCTCTCGGTAAGTCCTGTGTTCATTCTAACATTTCGCTCGGCAGGTTCTGTGATCATTCTAACATTTCTCTCGGCAGGTTCTGTGATCATTCAAACATTAGACATACAGAAACCTATGATAATCGTGGGTTCGAATCCTGGTTCGCCCTGCTTATGTTTTCAGATTTGTCAGCACCACGCCCATGTTCATGGGTTTCACCGAAGTGGTACACGTCTGAGACCTGCATCACTTTGGCCTTTCATCCAATATTAAGCTGACACGCAATGATATAACTGGAATACTGTTGAAAGCAACGTTAAAAACAAATGTCTCATTCATCTCTCTGTCTGTATGTCATTATCTCTCTCTGTATATCACTCGCTCTCTCTGTATGTCACTATCTCTCTCTGTATGTAATGAGATCTCTCTGCATGTCACTATTTCTCTCTGTATGTTACTATATAACTCTGTATGCCACTAGCTCTCTCTATATATTTAACTAGATCTCTCTGTATGTCCCCAGCTCTCTGTGCATGTCACAAGCTCTCTCTGTATGTCACTATCTCTCTCTCACTCTCTCTCTCTCTCTCTCTCTCTCTCTCCTGCTCTCTGTATATCACTATCTATCTGTATGTCACTAGCTCTCTGTGTATTAATATCTCTTTGTATGTCACAAGCTCTCTCTGTATATCACTAGCTCTCTGTATGTCACCAGCTTAATCTGTATGTCACTAGCTCTCTCACTCACTCATTCACTCAAGTCGTCTTCTATCCACAGGCCAACTGGACCTCGGGATACGACCCAATCACATACGCCGAGAGCGCCATACCGTTTCAACTCAAAATCTCAGTACCAGGCGTAAGACCTTTGTTCTACATTACCGTATTGTTTAATGCTTGTGGAGACAGATTAGTTTCCCACCGTCTAATGTATGTGGGAAACGAATAATTTCTTTCCCAGCGTCTTATGTATGTTGGTGCAGAATACTTTCCCAACGTCTAATGTGTGTGGGTGTAGAATACTTTCCCAGCGTCTAATGTGTGTGGGTGCAGAATACTTTCCCAGCGTCTAATGTGTGTGGGTGCAGAATACTTTCCCATCGTCTAATGTGTGTGGGTGCAGAATACTTTCCCATCGTCTAATGTGCGTGGGTGCAGAATACTTTCCCATCGTCTAATGTGTGTGGGAGCAGAATGCTTTCCCATCGTCTAATGTCTGTGGGTGCAGAATACTTTCCCGTCGTCTAATGTGCGTGGGTGCAGAATACTTTCCCAACGTCTAATGTGTGTGGGTGCAAATTACTTTCCCACCGTCTAATGTATGTGGGTGCAGAATACTTTCCCACCGTCTAATGTGTGTGGGTGCAGAATACTTTCCCACCGTCTAATGTGTGTGGGTGCAGAATACTTTCCCACCGTCTAATGTGCGTGGGTGCAGAATACTTTCCCAGCGTTTAATGTATGTTGGTGCAGAATACTTTCCCATCATATAATGTATGTGGGTGCAGAATACTTTCCCACCGTCTAATGTATAACTACATATGAATATATACCACATTCACCTCTAACTACATGTGAATATATACCACAATCACCTCTAACTACATGTGAATATATACCACATTCACCTCTCACTACATGTGAATATATACCACTTTCACCTCCAACTACAGGTGCGTATATACCACATTCACCTCTAACAACATATGAATATATACCACATTCACCTCTAACTATATGTGAATATATACCACATTCACCTCTAACTACATGTGAATATATACCACATTCACCTCTAACTACATGTGACTTTATACCACATTCACCTCTAACTACATTTGAATATATACCAAATTTACATCTAATTACATGGTTTGAGGACGATGTTTCAACCCATAAGAAAGGTTTACAAGCAAACATTTGTATTGTTTCGATTTCTTTGTGAATATCCAGTCTCCATATGTCTGAACCATAAAGTAAAATGGGACTAATTTTGGTATCAAAAAATATAAAACATTGATCATATGGGAGTGGCTTTATCATATACAAAGATTTGAAGACACCACAAAGAAAGCAAAAACAAAACAACGGTGCCATACACATGCCATTTTTTAATGTTTGGACAGTATACGACCATTTTTAAAAACAACAATATTCGGTTTTTTCTGAGTTGATATGTAACTAGTGACTGGTTGGTCGGGGGCCCAGTCGTCTAAGGCGCCGCGATTCGCTGTGCAGAGTTGCGTCCCTTGGGCACGCCAGAAACCTTTGATTGTGGGTTCGAATCCCGGTTCGCCCCAATTATGTTTCTAGGTTTGTCAGCACCATACCCGTGCTCGATGGTTTCACCGAAGTGGTAAACGTCTGAGACCTGCACAACTTCGGGCTTTCCTCCCACATGAAGCTGACACGCCGTGAAATAACTAGAATACTGTTAAAGGCGGCGTTAAACCCAACTGACTCACTCACTCACCACAGAAACATTCCAAAACGTTGGTACGTTTTTGTAAACCATATACAGAATCTGCGAGATGCACTACGTCGTCTGCAAATCATAATAGAAATAATTGTATAATATCCGGATGCATTTGTATCCCATGTTCACAGTTTGATTCGATTCTAAAGCTATCGATAGAATGGTCAAGAACATATGGCTAGACAATGAAACATATCTGCTACACTAAAAGACGTGAGAAAACGTTCAGTGTCAAGAGGATCTTTTCTTCTTCTAAATGTGTGTAACAATCGCTGGGTTTCTCGTCTTAAATATCGACATTCTTTGTCAAGCCACCGCCAAACCTACTACAGACCGCCGTCATCTAGCTGTAATATTTCCAAGTGCGGCCTTTAAGCATATTTTAAAAAGATGCATAGAAGTTCAGGATATGTCATATTGGGGATTTGGAGCGCAAAGAAAACCATCATTTATCATCCCTTGCGGTCCACAGTTTGGCATGCAGTACACGATGAACGTCTTCGAATACGACGCAAAGGAACCCAGCGTCATGAACTTTGACATCACCAACTGCATGACGACAGAGCGCCGACGAAGTTTCAGGATCGCGTTCCCCCGTATGTATTCTCCTATAACTGAACACCGTTAGCGGGGGCCAGCTTTAAAGCGATTTAAAGTGTTGACCATGATATATCGATAGTATGGTCAATAAGATAAGGCTGGACAATCAAACATATCTGCTGCACTAAAAGATGTGAGAAAACGTTGGTGTCAAGGGGATCTTGGGTGATCGAAATCCGGACTATTTCCAATCTATGTAATGCAAAGGGAAAATTTCGAAATAAGTAATAGACATTTCATACTTTTGATCTCCAGTACATTAAGCAACAAAGCTGAACGAAATAGGGGATTTAAAATTCGGTCAGTAAGGGCCACATTTTGGACATCATGACACCAAGCAATCTATTTATATCGGGACATTGGCTGTGCAGAGTTGCCTCCCTTGGGCACGCCAGAATCCTGGTTCGAATCCTGGTTCGTCCCGATTATGTTAATAGGTTTGCATCATACCCATACTTGTGGGTTTTACCAAAGTGGTGCATATCTGAGACCTGCATCACTGCGGGCTTTCCTCCTACATTAAGCTGACATGCCATGGTATAACTGGAATAGTGTTCAAAGCGGCGCTAAAACCAACTCACTCACTCACTCACTCACTCACTTACTATTTACATTCCACTGAACTCAAGGACCCGTGAAGATCCGGGGTAGAATAGGTCTTCAGCAACCCATGCTTGCCGTAAAAGGTGACTATGCTTGTCGTAAGAGGGGACTAACGGGATCATTTGGTCAGGCTCGCTGACTTTGTTAACGCATGTCATCGACCCCAATTGCGTGGATCGATGCTCATGATGTCAATCACTGGATTGTCTGGTCCAGACTCGATTATTTACAGACCGCCGTCATATAGCAGGAATATTGTTGACACTCCAGACACACAGTATTTACTGAATGCGCTCCACAGTACTTTGTGCAATATGTGCACAGCTTACAAAAGCCAGCTGTGATAGAAAGGTATGATATTCTGATAAGCTGAATAAAAAAATGGCACAAAATACAATGGCACCCTGAAATCACAAGGCGACCCTGACAAATGACATAAACGTTTTGTCCGGTGTCCGTATAGGTAAATGTCAGACAAAAGCATTGCGTTAAGAGAGTCTTTTTTGTTTCAGAGAAATATACACATATGATAGGTCACAATCGGCCACAATTCAAATACGCCGGCCTCATCGCCATCCTCTCAGCAGCATCAATCGCCCCCATCAGAGTCACACACATTGCGGTAAGGGCGGACATTACCTCGTGGCTTTTTTCTCACGCTTGGTCTTACCCCGGGTCCCTTACTTTCTCCAACTGCGTTACCTAATCTGACCCTAGATCCAATACTTTCTCCAACTGCGTTACTTAATCTGACCCCAGACCACATACTTTCTCCAACTCTGTTACTTAATCTGATCCCAGGTCCCATACTTTCTCCAACTGCGTTACTTAATCTGACCCTAGATCCAATACTTTCTCCAACTCCGTCACGTAATCTGTCCCTAGATCCAATACTTTCTCCAACTGAGTTACTTAATCTGACCCTAGATCCAATACTTTCTCAAACTGCGTTACTTAATCTGTCCCTAGATCCCATACTTTCTCCAACTCTGTTACTTAATCTGTCCCTAGATCCCATACTTTCTCCAACTGCGTTACTTAATCTGTCCCTAGATCCCATACTTTCTCCAACTGCGTTACTTAATCTGACCCTAGATCCAATACTTTCTCAAACTGCGTTTCTTAATCTGTCCCTAGATCCCATACTTTCTCCAACTCTGTTACTTAATCTGTCCCTAGATCCAATACTTTCTCCAACTGCGTTACTTAATCTGTCCCTAGATCCCATACTTTGTCCAACTCTGTTACTTAATCTGTCCCTAGATCCAATACTTTCTCCATCTGCGTTAACTAATCTGACCCTCCATCCCATACTTTCTCCAGCTCTTTTGATCATTCTGACCCCGGATCACGAACTTTCCCCAACTCCGTCCATCTCTCTGACCCGGATTTCATTCTTTCTCCTACTCCGTTTCCCACTCTAACCCGGGCTCAATACCTTCCCAGACACCGTTATATTCTCAACAGCCGGATTTCATAGAGACTCCCCAGAGGCTCTCACTCACGGTGACCGCGGATCCTGCATACAGAGCTGTTGCTGCACGCGACGATGAGTGAGTGAGTGAGTGAGGGTTAACAGCCGCTTTTAACAGTATTCCAGTTACATCACGGCGTGTCAGCTAAATGTGGGAGTGAGTGAGTGAGTGAGTATGGTTTTTCGCCGCTTTTAGCAATATTCCAGCAATATCACGGCTTTACACATTGTACCCATGTCGGGAATCGAACCCGGGTCTTCGGCGTGACGAGCGAACGCTTTAACCACTAGGCTACCCGACCGCCCCGCTTAATGTGGGAGGAAGGCCCGAAGTGATGCAGGTCTTGGCCGTTTACCACCTCGGTGAAACCCACGAGCACGGGCATGGTGCTGACAAACCCAGAAACGTAATCGAACCCACATTCATAGGTTTCTGGCGTACCCAAGGGATGCAACTCTGCACAGCGAATCGCGGCGCCTTAGACGACTGGGCCACCCGTGCCCAAGCACGCGACGATGACATCAAACCAGTTGTGTCGTTGAGAGAAATACCCCCCCCCCCCCCCCCCCCCCCCCCCTCAAAACACAGGATAATAAGAAGAATAAGAATAAGTATAATTGATTTGTAAAGCGCCTAATATCCATCGACAGTTGCTCACTGGTGCTGTGACAAAGTTAAAAAGTAATGTCTATGTACGTGTGCCAACAATCATGAGATCTATTGAAAAGCTGAAGTGAAGAAGTGAGTTTTGAGGAGAGACTTAAACGTTTCCTTAGAAGCAGAGTTTCTCAGATGCACATCTCCGTATTTCAAACACCCACATACATCTTGGATTGCAGATTAACATATACAACCGAACAGCCCATCTGAGCTTCGACCTCACCGACCTTCCACCAGTCAAAGGGGACGTCGTTTCCCTCACGTCTGGAATCTCGTTGGATCTCGCTGCCTCCGAGTTTATACGAAGTGTTCATGCCAACTCATTCCAGGTCAACCTTAAGGTCAACGGAAAGGTGAGACATATATCTTTATAAAGCGTCTGGTTTGTTTGATTCACAAAAAAAGTCAGCATTTCTCTACCTCCATCACGCTGCCTGTTAATTTCGAGTCTGGCAAGGCAAACAATTCATTGAACGCACGAGCAATTTCCAACGTCGTAAAGTCATGGAGCCTGACCACACGATTCACTTCACAAGTGAGTGAGTGAGTATAGTTTTTCGCCGTTTCAGCAATATTCCAGCAATATCACGGCGGGGGTCACCAGAAATGGGCTTCACGCTTTGTACTCAAAAGGGAAAAGTCTTCGGCGTTACGAGCGAACGCTTAAACCACGGGGGGCACGGGTGGCCCAGTCGTCTAAGGCGTCGCGATTCGCTGTGCAGAGTTGCGTCCCCTGGACACGCCAGAAACCTATGGTTGTGGGTTCAAATCCCGGTTCGCCCCGATTATGTTTCTAGGTTTGTCAGCACCATACCCGTGCTCGTGGGTTTCACCCAAGTGGTAAACGTCTAAGACCTGCATCACTTCGGGCTTTCCTCCCACATTAAGCTGACACGCTGTGATATAACTGGAATACTGTTAAAAGCGGCGTTAAACCCAACTCACTCACTCACTCACTTAAACCACAAGGCCACCCCAACGCCCTCTCGCCTCTCACGCAAAGCAATGGAGTACTGAGGGCTTATTCTATACCGGGTCCTTGTGGGGGCGTACTTCCACTATCAGTGGGGTGACGTGAAATTGGGTTTAGCGCTGCCTTCAAGATTGTTGTAAGTGTCAGCTTGTACTAGTCGGGACTAATGCCGGTTGTATAGCTTTGGTTAGACACCATGCCGCAGTTTTACATGGATAGTAAGTGAGTGTTTGTTGTATAGCGTCGCACTCAAAAATATTCCAGCTATATGATGGCGGTCTGTACATATACAGGAGTTTGGACCAGACAATCCAGTGATTGACATCACAAGCATCGATCTACGCACCTGGGATACGATGACATGCATCAACCAAGTCAACGAGACTGAGAACCCGATCCCGTTAGTCATCATCAACAACCCATGCTCGTCGTAAGAGGCGACTAACGGGATCGGGTGGTCAAACTCGCTGACTTGGTTGATGAATGTCATCGTATCGCAACTGCGTGTACGTAAATCGTTGCTCATGATGCTGACCACTGGCACACTGACACACTGTTTGTGTGTGTGTGTGTGTGTGTGCGTGCGTGCGTGCGTGCGTGCGTGCGTGCGTGCGTGCGTGTGTGTGTGTGTGTGTGTGAGAGAGAGAGAGAGAGAGACACCACCAACCCCTAATGTATACCGACTCCGTGCCAGTCAGTTCTTTCATCCGCGTAATACCGAGCTTGAGGCAGGCTTATAACAAGTACCATTTTTGCACATATTTTGGTATGACACGTCCAGGAGATCGAACAATCGACTTCCTGCTCTCTTGACAGAAACTCAATTGCCACTTGACCAGAGAGTCGGTCCAATATGTGGAAAGAATAAACAACCCTGGTTTGTCAATGAGCGTGGATTCATGGCTCAACGGGGCGGGCGGGAAGCCTAGTGGTTAAAGCGTTCGCTCATCAAGCCGAAGACCCGAGTTCGATTCCCGATATGGGTACAATGTGTGAAGCCCATTTCTGGCGTCCCCCGCCGTGATATTGCTAGAATATTGCTAAAATCGGCGTAAAACCATACTCACTCACTAACTCTTGGCCCGACCTTCCGTTCTGCGGGAAAACCTTGTGTCCAAAACAGAACGGAGGCGTTTAAATGTTCATCGAATTGAATAATTGCAACTTCTATTCCAGACCAACTACATCAGTGGGGTACCAGCTTCGCTTGAGGAAATGACTGCAGGACCAACGCCCTTCGTTACCCGACCCCCATCGACAACCCCTGGCACCCAGGGACCAGTGACACAGGGACCAGTGACACAAAGACCAGTGACACAACGACCAGTGACACAACGACCAGTGACACAACGACCAGTGACACAAAGACCAGTGACACAAAGACCAGTGACACAACGACCAGTGACACAACGACCAGTGACATATCATGTTCCAAATCCACGACCCACAACGAGCTACCCATATCAGTTAGTTTCATCGAAGAACGTGCTCTGCGGATCCTCGGGTGGTGGAGGGTATTCTGCGGGTAAGGTTGGAGAGAGCAGCTTTCGCCCCGCTTTACAAATCATACTCGCCGCCAAAAGAAATGCGAACCATAGACACACTTAGAAAAGTATGTACGTAAAGAGGTGTTTCCAATGTGTCTCTTTATTCTTGTCACGATCTGCTCCACGTGATTTCCAAAGTTTACACGCTAATCCTGCACGACACAAATGGTACTTCTAGAGTCATGGACCTATGACGTCACATGTGATGCGTTTTTACATCGAACCAATTTAACATCTCTTGAATATGAGTAAGTCTTTATATATTTGCTTTTCTTTTGGAGGTGAGTACATTTCAGTCATAACACATCCTATATACATTACCGTATCGTCCCAAAGCCACTTGAAATAGAATTACGAAATATCGCGATTAATTACAACAAATATACCTGCATGTTTTCTAGTACTTAGATTTGTTTGTGCGTTGTTTAACGCCGCACCCAGCGATATTCCAGCTATGTGACGGCGGTCTGAAATAATCGAATCTGGAACTGACAATTCAGTGATTGACAACATGAGCATCGATTCACGTAATTGGGATCGATGACATGCATCAACTAAGTCAGCGAGCCTGACCATCCGATCCCGTTAGTCGCTTCCTACGACAATTGCAAGCATAGTCACCTTCTAATACTAAGAATGACAACAAGGTATGAGGCGATGAGGATTAAAGTTATTTTAAAGTCTATTTTGTTAGCAATAAACACCATCGCTGAGTTTTGATCACGTGGTTACAATCCGGGTAAGCGTGGGCAGTCACGTGACTGCAAGCGGCCATCTTAAGCACGAACTGAAAGAAAAAAGGACCGTGTGGGAAATACCCATAATGTCGGAAAGCGCACGTTAAATCCCCAACAGTACGTAAGACAAAAAGCTGCACATGCAGTATTTGAAGGGCTATTGACCTAGCTCGAGATAAGCTGAATAAACCGCTCTCGTTGAAAGTCATATACGCCTTTAGGGCTGGGTTTCCCTCACACATACCAATAAACCTCTAGTGACGTCAGGGGCGGTCGGGTAGCCTAGTGGGTAAAGCGTTCGCTCGTCACGCCGAAGACCCGGGTTCGATTCCCGACATGGGTACAATGTGTGAAGCCCATTTCTGGTGTACCCCGCCGTGAAATTTCTGGAATATTGCTAAAAGCGGCGTAAAACCAAACTCACTCACTCACACTCTAGTGACTTCAAGGCTTTTTTTTCAAATCCGCGTATTCCTCGTAAAGATCGCCCGTGCATATAATGAACGGGACATTAGTCAAATCCCAGGATATTATATAACATCCACGAATGTTCACATATTCTAATTGGCAGTCCTAATAATATGTCCCGTTAGAGGGATTCGCATGGCATTTCACTGATGATTCTCATCTAGCTACCACTTTGAACCCTAAGAGTCAGTATGGTTTTTCGTCGCCTTTAGCAATATTCCAGGTGCATCATGGCGGGGGACACCAGCAATGGCACTTTACACATTGTACCCATGTCTGGAATTGAACCCGGGTCTGCGGCGTGACGAGTAACCACTAGGCTACTCCACCGCCCCTGATCCCTGAGTAACAGTGGTGAATATTTTGACGCCATATTATGTCTTGATATGAATTATTATTGGTAGGGTGTGATGAAAGTTGCTGTTTTTCATAAGTACACGTGTTATAAACGTATATGGGCAGCATCCTCTGAATGTTTCATACATACATTATTGACTGATCCTGGTTGGAATAGGTCTTCAGTGACCCATGCTTGTCTCACTCCGTGAAGATCCGGGGTAGAATAGGTCTTCAGTACCCAATGCTTGTCTCACTCCGTGAAGATCCAGGGTAGAATAGGTCTTCAGTGACCCATGCTTGTCTCACTCCTTGAAGATCCGAGGTAGAATAGGTCTTCAGTGACCCATGCTTGTCTCACTCCGTGAAGATCCGAGGTAGAATAGGTCTTCAGTGACCCATGCTTGTCTCACTCCGTAAAGATCCGGGGTAGAATAGGTCTTCAGCAACCCATGCTTGTCTCGCTCCGTGAAGATCTGGGGTAGAATTGGTCTTCAGTGACCAATGCTTGTCTCACTCCGTGAAGATCCGAGGTAGAATAGGTCTCCAGTGACCCATGCTTGTCTCACTCCGTAAAGATCCGGGGTAGAATAGGTCTTCAGTGACCCATGCTTGTCTCACTCCTTGAAGATCCGAGGTAGAATAGGTCTTCAGTGACCCATGCTTGTCTCACTCCGTGAAGATCCGAGGTAGAATAGGTCTTCAGTGACCCATGCTTGTCTCACTCCGTAAAGATCCCGGGTAGAATAGGTCTTCAGCAACCCATGCTTGTCTCACTCCGTGAAGATCTGGGGTAGAATAGGTCTTCAGCAACCCATGCTTGTCTCACTCCGTGAAGATCTGGGGTAGAATTGGTCTTCAGTGACCAATGTTTGTCTCACTCCGTGAAGATCTGGGGTAGAATAGGTCTTCAGCAACCCATGCTTGTCTCACTCCGTGAAGATCTGGGGTAGAATTGGTCTTCAGTGACCAATGCTTGTCTCACTCCGTGAAGATCTGGGGTAGAATAGGTCTTCAGTGACCAATGCTTGTCGTAAACCACGACTAACGGTATCGGATGCTCAGACTCGCTGAGTTGGTTGATGCTTGTCATCGTATCCCAATTGCGTGGATAGATGCTTAAACAACAAACAAACAAACGAAATATATACAAAGATATTCACCATTTCAAAAATATTTTAAATGCATAAAGTTGGATATAAGTTGGATGAAACACTAACACCTCTCGATTCTATGCAGATGTTAAATCCTCGGACCTTTTTGACCCAATTCATGGATGTTTACAACTGTTGTGAAAACAACGAGCAATTTTTAAGTTTTGTTTGTTTGTTTAACGCCGCACTCAATAAGAATAAGACAATCTAATGATTTATGTCATGAGCATCGATGCACCCAATGCGGATACGATGACATACATCAACCAAGTCAGCGAGCCTGACCACCCGATCCCGTTGGTCGCCTTTTACGACAAGCATAGTCACCTTTTACGGCAAGCATGGGTTGCTGAAGACCTATTCTACCCCGGAATCTTCACGGGTCATGTTAAGAAGTGCACAGTGTTGGCTGTGTGCATGGGAGAGTGTAGTAGATTGGCTGGACTTACTTTCATGAACACCTTGAATTATTAGACATCTTCGTGTCACAGGGGCAATGGCTGGTGTTGCCGTGGCGATGATAGTCGTTGGTGGCGCTTCGGGGGGAGGTCTGGCGATATATCTGTCAAGGAACAGGCGTATCTAGGTCACAATGTAAGTATCACTTTTTCTAATTCCTTACATTTGATAAGTACTATTCGTAGAGTGCCCAGTAAACATTTAAAGATTTTTATGAAAACCTGTCAGGTCAGTCAGATTATCTGACGATCATATCATAGCCAAGTAAAGCCATGAACATCCCGTTAGTCACCTTTTACGACAAGCATTGTCGCCTTTTACAGCAAGCATGGGTTGCTGCATCTCAACAGAAGAAACAAATCATGATAACAATGAAGAAAGATATTACAAAACTGGTATTTTAAGTCTTTCATAGGCATTTAGAAATAGGGAAAACATGAATGACACTTTTTATGGATAGCAAAAAGCGCCATGTAGTCATGGTATTTTCAGTTAGGTCAATGATTATTATTAGATAATAAACAAAATATGTGTTTAATGGAAAACAGTGTGAAAAACTCGGTGGCAAGATGATGGTTGGCGGACTACAATAATAGCCAAGTTATTCTTTTTGTTTTACAGACGCAGGATTTGACGTAAAAACGACATGTGCCGTTGGATGTGTTTTATAAAGAGATCAGGAGCAAGACTACTGTACACCAGCTTGCATCTTACACATATTTTTTTACATTTTTGTAGCGTCAAATATTGTTGTAATAATCCATATTTATCAATTCGCGAATTAACCACGAACCACATATTTTACATCAAATAATTTTCATAATGCCTTTCGTTTAATTTTATCGTTTAGCAAGGGAGGTAACTCATATATGTGTATGTTTGTATATATACATACATACATACATACATACATACATATATATATATATATATATATATATATATATATATATATATATATATATATAAGAGTTACCTCCCTTGCTAAACGATAAAATTAAACGATATCATTAAATTATATATATATATTAGACACCTGATCCGATGGTAACTCAGGTGATTGCTCTTAATCCGGGGAACTTGACAATTCGATCTAATACGATATTTAGGGATGTGGTTCCTATATAGCCCTTAGCATTATAAACTTAGTCAAGCTAACCTTTGGGTTTCATCAAAATGTGTCAGTGTTTAAATTGCATTGCTCAGAGGTTATCCATAGGCATGATGTATAAATACTATTATGATTGCTAGCTATTCTTCCTGGGTTTGTAAATTATTAATTTATTGCCAACTGTTCAAAGAGATAAAGGGAAAATTCAGTGTACTTAATAAACACGTGTTATATGTTGCTGGTTTTGAGGATGTATGTTGGTATGTTTCTGTGCTCAGTGCGGAAGACTAACGGGTGGGTATCGGGGTGTTTTAACAGCCATATTTATTCAGCCAATCGCCAACGTGGAGCGATGAAGCCGAGAATCATGGACAAACTGTTTTCGACAACCAAACTAAATTGTGTCCATTTTACGACATGTCGCGTATTGTTTACGCAAAGGTGAATGAGAGTTGCCCCGGAACATTCGTCACCACTCGCCCCTTTCCGTAATCTGCAAGAAGAAGGCTCGTCCCGGAATAACACGAGTTGGTCACGAATGGCCCCGGAACGATCGTCAAAAATATGAAAACACATCGTTTCGCGGTGTCCATTTGCTTGAACAAATGTTTTCTGTTAAATATTATTAATTAAACTTTAAAATCGTTATCGGCGTGAAAGTGTTCCCTATATGCCTCGATTGTAAAATGGCAATTGGGCGCCGTAGTTATTTGATACTGATTCATAAACACATACTTTTTATATGATCGGAATAATACAAAAGAAAATCATTTTTAATAATTATTGAAAGTTTTTTTACGCTTTTATTTAAAAGTTAAGTGGTCTAGAGAAAAACAGTAAAACTATTCCTGTTTCATTTTGACAGTTACCCTCAATCATTCAAATTTAAAGAACACACTTCTTAGGAAAAGGTAAATGCTCATCTAATAGCATAGGCGTTGTCAGCAATAAATGTCGTTTATGTTTTCTAATTCTTTAGAAATTTACTTAAATGTCTGCCGTTGTAAAATTAAATATTCTGGTATGATTCCCATATTGGATTAAAAATGTCCATGAAAACGGTCAGTTCATATTTCTGTATATTTTGGATTATCATTGACATTAAACATGCTCGTAAAAATATTAATTATTGTCGATCAAAAATACCATTGCACATTTAAGTTTTTCATTAGAATTGCATGGTTCTGTTTACATAAGTAATACCTGTAATTTGAAAGTGATGGCAGATCAAACGATGATTCCTTTCAAAATGACAAAATATATTGTTTTCTATCAAAAATAGCTTTTAATACTTTCTGATCACAAAGTTTAGAATCGGTGATATTTTCGGTGACGATAAATGGGGATAATCTCTCTCTCTCTTCCATGTGTTGCTGGACATCTTCTCGATAGATAATCCGAGAGATAATCGTTTCATTTCTTGGTTCAAAACTGATTTGCCAAAATTTGATTTGCAACATGGATCTATGTACATCACGAGAATCTTTCAAAAGGTTCGAAAGGAAAGACAACAAAATTTCTTACCTTAGAATGATATCACCTTTTTTGTACATATATAGATGTTATTAAATGCAATGATAATCATGTAAACAATGTGAACTTTTCAAAAGAATAATAACAATTGTAAATGTTAAACATTGTATATTATTAATTGTTTTGTTTCTTTGTTATTTAGTGGCGGTCGGGTAGTCTAGTGGTTAAAGCGTTCGCTCGTCACGCCGAAGACCCGGGTTCGATTCCCGACATGGGTACAATGTGTGAAGCCCATTTCTGGTGTCCCCCGCCGTGATATTGCTGGAATATTGCTAAAAGCGGCGTAAAACCATACTCACTCACTCACTCTTTGTTATTTAACGCCGCACTCCGCGCTATTCCAGCTACAGGACAGGAGTCTGTAGAGTATGGACCAGACAATCAACTGATCATGAGCATCAATCTACGCAATTGGGATATGATGACATGTATCAACCAAGTCAGTGAGCCTGACCACCCGATCCCGTCAGTCGCCTTTTTCAAGCATGGGTTGCTGAAGACCAATTGTAACCTTGATCTTCACGGGAATATTAATGATTTGAAAAACAAAGCTGTAATATATTCTACCATGAATTTAGAAAATGTTCGATTCTGATTATTCACAACAACCTCTTATTGAAACATACGACTAGACACACCAATCCCCGCTAGAATTAATATTCATAGAAAAGTACTTATTTCAGTCATTGTCGGGAGGCACTTACATGATATGTAAAATTATTTGTTTCATAATGAAGAGATGCGGTAATAATAGAGCTCAAAGTATATGTTGCAATTCATTTTGTGAAGAAAACACGATAGAAATCGACACAGAGAATGTATGAGTTTTCGGACGCTTAAGAAACATTCGTAGTTTTCTCGTTAATTACAAGAAACACAGTAAAACATCTCACTCACTTATATAAGACGACTTTATCTTAAAAACAGGGCATCATCTGAGTATTTATGTATGTGTGACGCCACACCCCTTGTTTTAGCGCGAGTAATCGCGATAAACATGGCCGTCCGAAAACGTATGATGTCTGAAATCATATGATACAGTAAACAACGTTCATAACGAACACGCTTATAACGAAGTGACGGATATAACGAACTGATGTTTTTGGTCCCGACCATATGCGGTATGGTTTAGTTGAAACGCTTATAACGAACTCCGGTTATAACGAACAAAACATATTGGTCCCTTTGAGTTCGTTATAACCGTAGTTTACTGTATATCAAGTTCTGGGCACAACGGTAAATTTGCTGCTTTTCTAAATACGACTATGACGGCATGTCGTTTGTGTCATAAAGAGCAATATGATTTGTTTGTTTGTTGTTAACGCCGCACTCGGCAATATTTCAGCTATATGACGGCAGTCTGTAAATAATCGAGTCTGGACCAGACAATCCAGTGATTAATACCATGAGCATCGATCCCCGCAATTGGGATCAATGACATGCATCAACCAAGTCAGCGAGTCTGACCACCCGATCCCGTTAGTCGCCTTTTACGACAAGCAGAGCCACTTTTTACGGCAAGCATGGGTTGCTGAAGACCTATTCTACCCCGGATCTTCACGGGTCAAGAGCAATATGAAGTCGTATTAGTGATTTGTGGTGTAGAACAATACCTTTCAAGGCTTGCTTAGTTTTGTTTAGAGGTGCCTATTTCATGTTGGCTTACGAAGGCGATGTGCTGAATGCTTTCAGGTCCTGTCATTTGTTCGTGTAAAGTATTACGGTGTGAAACAAATGCATGAGTATATACAGCGCCATATTTTACATATAAAGGCTTTTGTTTGGTGATACCATAATTCAGAACGCTGCGTTAAAAAGACAGCATGTTTATTTCCAATATACTGTACTTACCGATTACGGTCGTCTTAAAATTTGCCATCGCAAATTTCACACGATGAAGACATAAATGAAACAAAAAAATATAGATGGACAGTATCGCGTGTATGCAATAAATTAAATCAAGCGAAATTATAATGCTGTGTTTTGAAGGTTGTAGCAATGTCAACTCGCAAGAATCACCCAGCTCCTTCCTGCGTGACACCTTCGTTACACACTCGGTAACATCGCTACCACCAGTGTGGGTGCGGCCATTACAAGAATCTTGAAGTTTGCCTTCGGACCCCAAATGTAGTACCGCTTATACTTTTGTTTATGTCTTTGGGAATGCCATCATATTTCATTTTGAAAAGGTTTACGACTGACCATGTTTTCCAGATGAATTTACTTTGATGTTTTAATAATCAGATTGGTTCGAGATTGCAGACTAACGGAAAATCAACCAACTTCTCCCTTACATTCTTACTATATAAATAACATGATAGTTTTAATGAAACAGAAATTCAAACTGACAAACAAAGAAAGTAATTTAGCAGTGATAAGTGTATTCGGCGTGACGACAGTCGTCACTTGTTTGTAAACATAACGGTCAATCGGTTGCGAGTTCAACTCCAAGCATGGTTTGGGCCACCTATCACAGTGGGGAGTTATGACTAGTGGCAGCGATAGCATAGAGAGCTCCGCGAACGGGCTATCGCTGTGAGGAGCTTGAAGAATCACCAGTAAAGGGACATGACTATCATTGTTGTACCAGCAGTGAGACAAGAGACAATTAGTGTATACCAAATCCGTACGTCACACATGCGTCGTATATGATTGCTCTCGTTTCAGTCGTTTTGATTGGATAAACCTTACGTTGTAAGGTCACACAAGGACTTCAGATTAATACATTAAAATTCACTAGTGAGTGAGTGAGTGGGTATGGTTGTCCCCCTCTTTTAGCAATATTCCAGCAATATAACGGCGGGAGACTAAATATATATTCGACGCAAAGCCATGTGTGTTCACTGTTTTTGTGTCATCACCTCAAACCCTGCCACAGTGACCGTGTTGCTGATTGTAGAACAGATGTCGTAATTTCCTAGCAAATCAAATAGTGTATAATTTATCAAGGAGCCATTCGCTTTACTCCAATCTCATTAAAATCATATCTAAGTTCTCTCTGCCTCTAAACAAAGATCTGAGTACATCCCATTACGGGTCACGTCAGGACGACCTTTCGCGAACTTTGACCAACGATTGAAATGACTATCAAGAAGTCGACATCAGCCAATTAGAAAGCAGCTTTCTTGAGCTTTACGGCTCTTGTTTCAACCTGGCGAATTCCATTTCTGTCTACGCTTGAAAAATATATTGACACAGTTCTCGATTAATATTTTGAAAACTGAACAAACGAACATTCCGGAATGTCTAATATATGGTTGAGAGTGTATGGCAGTGCATCCTACGTAGTGTAACTGTCGTTCGGAATACCCTGTGTTAACGTTTCCGAGGTTGCATGATTAGAAAATACATTCCGACTGTCACTTTCATGATCTGGTAAGCGACGCTTTGATTGGTCGGATGAAAGGTCGTTCTGACGCGACCCGTAATGGGATGTCCTCAGATCTTTCTTTAGCGATAGCGAGAACTAAGATCATATGATTTTAATGAGATTGGCTTTACTCGAAAAGTGTTGTTTTCTCGCTGAGAGTAGTCAATTCATCGCCATCTCTCGCCCATTAGGGTAAAAATGCACAATATCCCTTTCGTTGGCGAGGTAAGAACAGTGAGTTAGTATGGTTTTATGCCGGTTTTAGCAATATTCCAGCAATATAACGGCGGGGGACACCAGAAATGGGCTTCACACATTGTACCCATGTCGGGAATCGAACCCGGGTCTTCGGCGTGACGAGCGAACGCTTTAACCACTACGCTACCCGACCGCTCCCATTTATTACCTAGCACATTACACACTTTATAGAATATTTGAAAACATTTTCGCTATAATTTCAACATGGTAGTAAGTTGACACAGAACGTGTACAGACATCATGCAGTCGAGTAATATCCATGCATGTGTATTGAGGCAGATCGATATAGGTCTCGCAACTACTCGAGCTGAGGTAGCATTTAACTCGTTCCTCGATTGTGCTTGTTTCCGAACAATTTAATGTTTGTTTGTTGTTCTACGCCGCACTCAGCAATATTACAGCTATATGACGGTGGTCTGTAAATAATCAAGTCTGGACCAGACAATCCAGTGATTGACATCATGAGCATCGATCCACACAATTGGGACACGATGACATGCATCAACCAAGTCAGCGAACCTGACCACCCGATCCCGTTAGTCGAATCTCACGACAAGCAGAGTCGCTTTTTACAGCAAACGTGGGTTCCCACACACGCACAGACCACACACACCACACACACCACACACACCACACACACACACACACACACACAGGGGTAGCCTTATGGTTAAAGCGTTTGCTCGTCACGCCGCAGATCCGGGTTCGATTCCCCACATGGGTACAATGTGTGAAGTTCATTTCTGGTGTCCCCTGTCGTGATATTGCAGGAATGTTCTAAAAGCGACGTAAGACCGTACTCACTCACTCACTCGCGCACAGACACAAACACACACACATTCATGCACGTCGTTATAAATGTGCAATAATCTTGAACGCGACGTAAAACACCCCCTCTATACACCCTCCTCAAACAAACCATCGATCAAGTCACGTGACAAAAACGCGGCAGTGCAATGACAATGACATCATACTGTATAGTTTTGCCTTCTTGGAATTGTGCCAATTGTTCATTTATCATTTCAAATGGCAGAGTGACAATCGTGTAAGAGAAATGTCCCACGTCTAACAGATGTAAGTATTTCAAATATTCAAACACAAAATCGTGTCATTGTGACGTTGTCCTACATTGTCGGTTGTGGCGGAAGAGCAGGTGTAAAAAGATGGCTTGCTTCTTTGTGAAATTTATATGATCAAGAGGATCAACACATTCACACGCATTGTCTTTCAAATGGGCGTTTATGCGAATATGATCAGTATGCTGCCACACGTTACCCTCCCATCAATGTATGTCACATTCAGGTAGTTTGTAACATATACCTCGCGCCATGCGTATCGTCACATACCAGGTGGAGGGTCTATACGGGTGTGTGTATCCGTCAACAATCGATATTGCGTGATATATTATCCGTGTTGTTCTTGTTACTTGAACGTAAGATACGTATAGGGGAAGTTAGGTGAAAGGTGGTTTAGCATAGCGTTATTGCTCTTACATAGCGACGTGTACGTGTGTGTGTAGGTGTGTGTGTGTTAGGTGTGTGTATGTGTGTGTGTGTGTGTGTGTGTGGGGGGGGGGGGGGGGGGGGGGAGCACTTGTACTAGTCCGGAGAAATGGGGATTTTATAGTGAGGTGAGGTGAAATTGGGCTTAACGTCGCGTCCAAGATTATTGCACTTCTATAGCGCGACGTGCATGTACGTGGGTGTGGCTGTTTGTACTAGTCCGGACTGATGCCGATTTATAGTGCTAGCCCACTGAGATACCATGCCGCAGTTTAACATGAATACCCCACTCAGACACAGTATACTGACTCCGAGCCGACCAGTCCTTGTTTTAGCCCCTTAATGCCGAGCGCCAGACAGGGTAACAACAAGTATCATCTTTTAACGTCTTTTGGTATGACGCGGCCGGTGTTCGAACCCCGGACCTTCCGCTCTCCGAGCGGACGCTCTACCACTAGACCACGGAGGCGGTCGATTTTATAGTGCTTTATGACGCGGCCGGGCATCGACCCCCCCCCCCCCCCCCCCCCCCCCCCCCCTCACCCCGACCTCCCGCACAGACGCAGTCGCTAACGGGGGAATGGAGGATTTTTAGTTTACCTATCATTGAAAACAGCTTTTAATATGGCAAGAAGAGGGTCTACCTGGCTGTGTCTTTCCTTCAATAATGGACATAGTGAAATACAAGCTGTCAATGTTACGATTTCTTTGTAAGTCAGTTCAATTATATTCAATTAATTGGTTTATTGTATGTTTATTGGCCCATATACAAATGAGTTACGCAGACATACAGTTATATTCACAGATATTGTTGTATATAGAGTATCAAGACAACAGAAACTGACGTACACAAAAGCATGATGAATGTATAAAGATACTTGTAGTTGAACGCTGTACTTTTGGCTGGACAGCAGACATTCAAAGTTATCAGTAGATGCACATGAAAATGACCAGGCGAGTAGATATTTCATTCTTATTTTGGACCCGTGAAGATTCCGGGGTAGAATTGGTCTTCAGACTCGATTTTTTACAGACCGCCGTCATATAGCTGGAATATTGCTGAGTGCGGCGTTAAACAACAAACCAACTAACCATTCTTATTTTGTTATATACAGGGTATATGAACATAAAATGAATTTCGTCAGGCTCCGAATGTACAGCTCTCCAATTCATGATATAATGGCTCACCTTTCAGCAACGTAAAGGTAATATATATTGAATAACGGAATACGAATAATTTAAGTCATCATATCCGTATAAAACTATAAATAATATTTCTTTTCTTTACCTTATCGCTTGACCATTACAACATGAGTTGAATACCCCATGTTATATTTTAGCTATACATGTCACATTGTACTTGTAGCAAAGACACTGACATTACGGTACCTTCGTTTATTTTGGAAACCTCAAAAACACTGGGTTGTATATGGAATCAATGTAATTGTGGCACTTCAACCTGTTTCAGAACAAGCAAGCGTAACTGGACACTAGATATGGCGGAGGAAGGTGAGATACGCGTTGACCCTAGCCATTCGGCACCACCACCCCTTTCCGTCACCTGCAAGAAGACTCGTCCCCCTATCGATGAATGTTATGTGCGAAAATAAGACAAACCAATCAGAATGCGCGTATGACTGACTTCACGTCAAAGAATCCCTCAGGAATAATTTTTGATTTTATATATGTCTTGCATCTGAAAATATACCCTAGATACAGTCAAATGTGTTCAGTCAAAATGTATAAATACCGCAAGTCCCGATGTGTTTTAAACAGCATCTGGAAAATATACTAGTATGACACGATGAAAATATACGCAACGAGTTGACAATTCTTTTAACCATGCCCGTTTGCGTTTAGACGGAACCAAGTCGCAAAAATGGTCACGAGAGGGCCTTGAGTCGATATTTGGCTTGGCCAGGAATAACACGAGTTGGTCACCAATGGACCCTGGCATGACCACATGGAGACGGTCAACCTGACGTGGTCAGTCAGCGACCTCACATACATGTAGTATCAGAAATACTCAGCTCTTAGATCACACAGAACCTTAAAGATGTTTGTGGAATCAAGTCAATAGTGTCTCACATATTTGTGTAATAGGGACACATTCCAGGATTTAGAAACTTGTAAGGGGCACGGCTGGCCCAGTCGTCTAAGGCGCCGCGATTCGCTGTGCAGAATTGCGTCCCTTGGGCACACCAGAAACCTATGATTGTGGGTTCGAATCCCGGTTCGCCCCAATTATGTTTCTAGGTTTGTCAGCACCATACCCGTGCTCGTGGGTTTCACCGAAGTGGTAAACGTCTTAGACCTGCATCACTTCGGGCTTTCCTCCCACATTAAACTTACACGCCGTGATATAACTGGAATACTGTTAAAAGCGGCGTTAAACCAACTCACTCACTCACTCACTCACTAGAAACTTGTGAGATTGTGAACTTATTTAAATATTACCTACGTTTAGAACTATTTGATTACAAACCCACTACCTGTACAATTACTGTTGTGTTAACTTTTCATCACGCCTTTGAAAGTTGGTTGGTTGTTTTACGCCGCACTCAGCAATATTCCAGCTATATGACAGCGGTCTGTAAATAATCGAGTCTCGACCAGACAATCCAGTGATTAATATCATGGGCATCGATCCGCGCAACTGGGATCGATGACATGTATCAACCAAGTCAGCGAGCCTGACCACCCGATCCCGTTATTTGCCTTTTACGGCAAGCATGGGTTGCTGAAGACCTATTCTACCCCGGATCTTCACGGGTCGCATTGAAAGGAAAACACTGCAGTAATTAGAACATGAAAGAATATTTATTATTAGTTGTAACATTCAAATCAAGTCGATGAGGGATGGGTCCATTTGGCCCAGCAAATATTCATAACATAAATTATATACAGGATGTTTGTCATTTTAGGATTTATGTGTTTGATCCAACACAATATAAATTGGAATAATAAATGCATGAATATTTAAGAAGTTCTAAACTGATTCGACAAATTAAAACCTAATAAAACAACACCCATTTAAACCCACACATATTCATAGCTTATATGTTATACTGTCATTTCTAAATGCAGTTTTCTCTTTGAATCAAAGAAGAGCAACACAGTATTCCTTGTTTTACTTCATAAGGACACCCATGAAGATCCGGGGTAGAATAGGTCTTCAGCAACCCATGCCTGCCGTAAAAGGCGACTATGCTTGTCGTAAAAGGCGACTAACGGGATCGGGTGGTCAGGCTCGCTGACTTGGTTGATGCATGTCATCGTATCCTAATTGCGTGGATCGATGTTCATGATGTCAATCACTGGAATGTCTGATCCAGACTCGATTATTTACAGACCGCCGTCATATAGCTGGAATATTACTGAGTGCGGCGTTAAACAACAAACCAACCAACAACCAATCTAAAAGACACGTAAGCCCCTGCTGTGCGAATGGTTCATATTCAACCTACACCAAATAACATGCACACACGTCTTGAGCACACCATGTTGTCCATCCAGGTATGTCAATCAACGTCACCGGGAACCAAGGAACTGCCCACAGCGTGTACGCCATCGGAATCCACCAAGGGCCCCTCAACGGTAAGCCCACACTGCACATTCCAGCACACTTTTCGAGAGCACACCGATCCATTGATCCATAAAATAATGGTTTTGCGCTTTAAGCATGCGACCCGTGACGATCCTGGGTAGAAAAGGTCTTCAGCAACCCATGCTTGCCGTAAAAGGCGACTTTGCTTGTCGTAAGAGGCGACTAAGGGGTTTGGGTGGTCAGGCTCACTGACTAAGTTGATGCATGTTATCGTACCCCACTTGCGTGGATCGATGCTCATGATGTCAATCACTGGATTGTCTGGTCCAGACTCGACTATTTACAGACCGCCGTCATATAGCTGGAATATTGCTGAGTGCGGCGTTAAACAACAAACCAACCAACCAACCCACACCACTGGGTTGGTTTAACAGGATAGATGATCTGCCCGGAATGGAGAAAGGGTCGATCTCGTGGAGACATCATTCACAACGTGATAGGATTGTACTTGTTGTTACCCTGGCGCTTGGCATCAAGGGGATAAACAAGGAATGGCCGGCTCGGAGTCAATATGATCTGTTCACGTGTGGTAACCTTGCTAAACTAAGGCATGGTATCTCACTGGCACAATAAAGCCGACATGACGCTGGTAATAGTAGCCACACACATCGCTGGTATTAGTAGCCACACACATCGCTATAACAGTGAAACAATCTTCAACACAAGGTTAAACCCTACTTTCCCTTTAGATCATTGTATCAACTATGGGAACAGCGGACACTATGGCAAACTAATGTTTGTTTTCTTTCTTCTAGTCAATCATTCCAGGGATGAAGAGAGACTTTGTGATTTAAGAGGTAAGATTGGAATCGTCACTGTTTCTTTGTTTGTTTGTTGTTTAACGCCGCACTCAGCAATATTCCAGCTATATAACGGCGGTCTGTAAATAATCGAGGCTGGATCAGACAATCCAGTGATTGACATCATGAGTATCGATCCACGCAATTGGGATCGACGACATTTATAAACCAAGTCAGCGAGCCTGACCACCCGATCCCGTAAGTCGCCTTTTACGACAACATAGTCGCCTTTTACGGCAAGCATGGGTTGCTGAAGACCTATTCTACCCCGGAATCTTCACGGGTCGAAATCGTTACTGAAAACATACTGTTGTAATTCATTGAAATGTGTACGTAGTAACTTGTTTATGGTCAGCTTAGATACAATTATATTCATTATATGTGACCTGTCTTATGGGGGCTAGTGTACAAATGTACTGAAACGTTATAAGACGTTTGATGTCAACTTACTTCAGTGAAGATCGCCATGTGTGCGGACTGAACAAAAATATCTCTCTTTTTTTCTCTCGTTAGTTCGTAATGTAATATCAAAAACATTTTTTCACAACCTTTCAGCATACGTGTCCACTTTCAATTCATCAGACATTTTGTCTGAAAGCAATTATTACATAAACAGTTATAAGTCGGAAAATGAGTCCAAATGTTTGAATATACTGTATTCTAAAAATATAATGAAAAGTCAAAATGTGATTTTTCACTCACATGGCCCCTTAACTGGTTGGTCGGGAGCAAGGGTGGCCCAGTCGTATGTTTCTAGGTTTGTCAGCACCATACCCGTGCTCGTGGGTTTCACTGAAGTGGTAAACGTCTGAGACCTGCATCACTTCGGGCTTTCCTCCCACATTAAGCTGACACGCCGTGATATACTAGTAACTGGAATAATGTTAAAAGCGGCGTTAAACCCAACTCACTCACTCATGGTTGGTCACATATGATAAAAATGATCAAGTTTATACGTTGTTTTCTGTCAAACATAGGTTGATATTGTTTCCAGTAAATAAGTCTTAAATGCTCACATAATGTAACTCCAACACACCTGTATCTTTATATCTGTTCAAATGTCCCTATAGTCAGTTTGTATTTCAGACCAAACTAGGAAAGACATTGCTATCTGGACTAGAGGAATGGTTAGAGTGTCTGCCATTGAAACAACCATAGAGAAGTTTCAAAAAGGCCATCGATGGGTGACTGTGACAGGAAATGCTGGAGATGGGAAGACAACTCTTGCTTATATGGTGCTGAAGCATCTACAGGATGAGGGGAAGGAAGTGTTCAAGGTTGATACTCCTGAGGACTTCTTCCTCATCTGCAGGAGGACTCCTGACAGTGTCGTCTTGATGAATGATGTGTTTGGTGCTTTCGATTTCGATCAAAGAGCTCTCAGCACTTGGCTGCCCCTGATCCAAACAATTTTAGAACGACAGGCGAAGGACACTGTCAACGAAGCTGTTCCAAGTGTTATATTTGTGAGCAGGCTAAATGTATTAGAAGCTGCAAGAAATCAACTGGGAAAATATGGAGAGGATGAAATAGTTAATCCGGGTAAGCTGAACTCAGATGGGGAGAAAGTTGAGATATTAAACTTTCATCTAGCCAGACATAATATAAGCGACATTCCAGAGAGCACAAAGGAGAAACTCTGCAGTAGGAGTCCGCATGGATTTCCTCATTGCTGTGAGATGTACGTTGAACTGCGAGCCAGTGAACATGCAGTTGATATTCTCAAGTTCTTTTCGTCACCTCTCAAGTTCCTCAATTACACAACACAGGTTTTGGTGGATAAAGAGAAGTATTATGACCATTTTAAAATACTTCTGAAAGCAGGTGGACAATTGGATATCTCAAGACTTAGAGATGCAACACTGAGGACAGAGATGCAAAGCACTGCTTCTAGTTTATTGGGAAGCTATCTTAAAACTAAAGGAATTGGTGTTGCCTTCTCTCACCCTTCCATCTATGAGAGTGTGGCAGTAGCAGTTGGAAACAAAGACCCTCTCTTTGCTGCACAAGAGTTTCCTATTTCACTCATCATGCAAAAATGTAAGATGCAGTTGCCTCGGAAATCGGGAAATAATTTGAACATCGTCTTCAAGGTATCATCCTCAGCTATGAATGCACTTGTGCAGAGGTTGGCAACAGAAATACGTCACGGAAACTACACCGTGATACAACACGAGTTGTTCTGGGAAAAGAAGATCTGTGAAAAACTAATAGAGTTCAGCGTCCGCAGATCAACCCCGTTCTTTAGTAATGTAATTTCACATCATGTCTGTTCGCTTGATTTCCTTGTATGCACATCCATTTCCTGCCAACAGACCCGTGAGGATTCCGGGGTAGAATAGGTCTTCAGCAACCCATGCTTGTCTCCCCCGTGAAGATCCAGGGTAGGATAGGTCTTCAGCAACCCATGCTTGTCTCCCCCGTGAAGATCCGGGGTAGAATAGGTCTTCAGCAACCCATGCTTGTCTCACTCCGTGAAGATCCGGGGTAGAATAGGTCTTCAGCAACCCATGCTTGCCCTAAAAGGCGACTATGCTTGTCGTAAAAGGCGACTAACGCGATCGGGTGGTCAGGCTCGATGACATGGTTGATGCATGTCATCGATCCAAATTGCGTGGTTCGATGCTCATGATATCAACCACTGGATTGTCTGGTCCAGACTCGATTATTTACAGACCGGTTGACTTGTAGCTGGAATATTACTGTGTGCGGCGTTAAACAACAAACCAACCAACCAACCAATCCTGCCAACAATGTAACATTTACTTAACTTAAAGTTAAGCTAGGATGGGAAGGCTAATATTGTTTGTTTGTTTGTTGTTTTACGCCGCACTCAGCTATATTCCAGCTATATGACGGCGGTCGGTTAATAATCGAGTCTGGACCAGACAATCCAGTGATTAGCATCATGAGCATCGATGCAATTGGGATACGTTGACATGCATCAAGTGCCAAGTCAGCGAGCCTGACCACCCGATCCCGTTAGTAACCTCTTACGACAAGCATGGGTTGCTGAAGACCTATTCTAGCTGATATTCAGTAATCTATTCATATAATTTCCACCACCTTTTTGCATAGTCGTTTTTTACACCAAGCATGGGTTACTGAAGACCCCAGATCTCCATGGGTCAGGCTGATAGGTCATTTAGAAATGCAGAAATACGCAGTGAAATAAAATTCAAGTGTATCAAATACGCATCGAACATTACAGATACGCTCAAAAATAAAACTAGTGCGTATCATCAAAATATTGTGAAGTAACCCTGCGTGTTCGATTAGCAAATCAAACTTATTTTGAAATTATATACGGGCATTCCGTCAAACTCCAAACTCCACGATGACAGTTACATCATGATCATTTGCCATCACACTTTCTTGTGGAAGTATCGCGGGATTTTTGAGTCCTATAAAGCTCTCGAACCCACTCGACAACAGTTTGCAGGGACGAGACTAAGTGTTTTTAAATATTTAACTTAAATACCCACATGTGTAAAAACTAGTGGGTAACAGAAATTTGAATACCCAGATAGAATTACTGATACCCAATGATTTTAAAATGCATGGGTAAAATACCCCAAAGACCGAAAGCTTATTTATTTATCTGGTCAAACTTAAAAAAACTTCATTCTAAATGTGAAATATGGGGTAAAACCAAGTGACTATCATAAGGGTTGACACAATATATGAGAATTACGTTCACTTCTGTGCCCTTTTTGGGTCATTTTTCATGCATACGAATATTATCTTTCAGGTCGGGAAGCGTGTTGGTATCAACCAGAGGGACAGTAGTGGACAAACGCTGTTGCATGCAGCTGTGAAGTGCAGTAACGTCACTGCTATTGAGATGCTCCTGAGGAGAGGGGCAAATCCTTATAGTCCTGTCACACCCGATACTCAACTGACAATACTGCACGAAATTATCCTAACTCGGCAAACACATACCCTTGAGCTGTTTTTACAACATGGCGCTGATGTTGACCTCGCAACTGATGACGGTGTCACACTCCTTCACAGCGCCATCGAGTGGTTAGGAAGTGCACGAGCTATTGATATAGTTGCATTGCTAAGGTGAACAAGGCTGATGGAACTTTTTGGTTAGGTTTTAGCCGTAAAGTCCTGACCTATTCTGGGGAGTATAACCAGCATGAAGATTCCAGGGTTTCATTTGGAAAGACTGCTCTTCATTATGCGTGTCAGAGTCAATACATTGATGTGAATCTTGTTCGTCTGTTGGTTAATTATGGAGCAAATGTCAGAAAGGTTGATGAGAATGGTGAGACAGCTTTGCACTATCTATGTCGAAAAGAAGATCGAGATGACGGGATTGAAATAGCTGGTTGGATACGCGCCCTTTTATATGAATCGCTATCTCTGGTCAGAACGAACCAAAGGGATACTGTCTTCAAGGCTGACAACGAGGACACGTTAGTGGACCATCTGTGTCAGAAATATGGAATCGATGAAGAGGAACTAAAACGTGCTTATGAGGCTGGATACCAGGGGGCAGAGACCGAAGAGACCAAGGCTATCACAATGCTGATCACAAGGGGGGTAAAAGTTTATCAGAGGAATAAGCATGGGCAGATAGCCTTGATAGATCTCATGTTGATGTCAGAACAGTTCATCTGATGCTAGTACATGGTTTTCATGTGGATGTTGCTGATAATGATGGAAACACACCGTTGCACTTCATCTGTCAGAGGCGTAACGTGGATATCGCTACGTTGTTTCTACTGACTAAATACAGGGTGGTTGATAACACATTGGAGAATAGACGCGGGCGTACAGCCTTACACTATTTGTGTCAGAGACATAACGTCGTATTGGACTAATTAGTAGTGTCACATGACAATATGCCATCAATCAGTGTTATCAGTTATGTGCGTTTCTAGACTGTACAAGGGCCGGTCGGGTAGCCAAGTGGTTAAAGCGTCACGCCGAAGACCCGGGTTCGATTCCCGACATGGGTACAATGTGTGAAGCCCAATTCTGGTGTCCCCCGCAGGGATATTGCTGGAATATTGCTAAAAGCGGCGTAAAACCATACTCACTCACTCTCTCCAGACTGTACAATCTGTAAGTTAACTTGTCTGTTTATACAACTGGTGGTACAAAAATAGTACTTTACACGCACAGTTTCGAACAACATAATATAGCATAGAAATGCATTTGTATGCTTTAGCCTAACACATTTAACCAAGACGTACATATCAGCGCTGTGCTCGACCGTCTCCATTTGGTGGAATGGACAGAGCATCTGCCTGGAGGGCTGATGGCGGATGGTTCAAACCCTAGGCCGCGTCACCGTGCTACAATATCTGTAAGAAACATGACAAACAAACTGGAGAAACAGTCATTAAAAATCAGACACAACAATGGTGAGCCATGCAAATTCATTTTATGGGCTGATTGTAATGGTTGCTTTGTTGTTTAACGCCGCACTCTGCAATATTCCAGCTTTATGACGGCGTTCTTTAAATAATCGAGTCTGGACCAGACAATCCGGTGATTAATATCATGAGCATCGATCCACGCAATTGGGATCGATGACATGCATCAACCAAGTCAGCGAAACTGATCAACCGATCCCAACAGTCGCATTTTACGACAAGCTAGCATAGTCACCTTTTACGGCAAGCATGGGTTGCTGAAGACCTATTCTATCCCGGAATCTTCACGGGTCTGAAAGAACTGACCGTTACCGAGATTTTATCTGTGATAATGATGTGACGTGACAATTGGTGAACATTATCTACCATGTAACGTTTCAGTAACGAGAAGTGTTTATGACTACAAAACAAATAACTATTACTCTGTGGACATATTGTAAATTGCAGATCCTCAGATACCCAAAGTTACTTCAGTTTTGTTAATGATTAATGCCCTCAACTCACATAATGTACATATTATCCTTTCAGTGGCTGTTCATATAAAACATGTGTTTTATATCACAATAAAGACGATTTAATCTGTGTTTATTCACAATATATTCTGGTATTGTGAATCAGATGGACCCCTGATGAATAGTGATAACACCATGAACTAGTTGCATTATTACAGCATGTCAACATTCATATCCCTCCAAGCAGTCACGAGGCGGTCGTATAGCTCGTCACGCCAAAGACCCGGATTCGATTCCCGATATTGGTACAATGTGTGAAGCCCATTTCTGGTGTCCCCCGCCGTGATATTGCTTGAATATTGCTAAAAGCGGCGTAAAACCATACTCACTCACTCACTCCAAGCAGTCACACGACAGTTAACTATTTTATGCCACGTATATTAAGTTAACACTCTCTGTCACACAGCCTGTTCCAACTGTCGTATGACTCAAGGCGCCAGTCCATCAGGATAGTGAAAACAGAGGGTCGACTGTGGTTTGCATTACGTATTTATCAAGGTCAAGGTACCTAATAACATGAATTATTAAGATCAAACTTTCCTTAGTAGCTGATCACAAAAATTGTAATCTCTCTACAGACCCCTCTCTATATACCCTCCCTAAAGGTCACGTGACATACCCGACAGTCACAACAAGATCTTGTGGTTTTTAGTCCCGATATTGTGATCAATGATGGTTTAACGTGTCCGTGGTGAGAATAACAAAGGAGTAAGAGAACTGCCCTGCCTCTGACAGATGTAAGTATTCAGGATAGTTGAACACAAAGGTTTAACTTTCCAGCGTTGTGTTGATGACCTACTTTACATGTACAGTGCTGTAGTGACACAGCAGCTATTGGACGATTACCTGACACATTTATTCATTTAAACACATGTATACCTGTGTCCCTGATACATTCTGGGTGTGCTACTACATGCTTTTCTTCCATCACCGTGCTTCTGATGCAGCTCTGTGTTGAAAACAGATCGCGCCAAGCAGGATGAGTATATTGACGAACACAATGAAGAGGGTCTATATGAGTGGGTGTGTCTGTCGACAATCATTGTTGTGTTATATATCGTCTCTCAATTCAAATTGATAAGAATGCGGCAATACCATGTGTATAGCACATTTTTAGACATATACCTTTCATATTCTAATCAATCAATTGAACCATTGTAGTCATGGAACAAGAATATTACAAAAGACAGTTAAATAGCAATTTTTATAGGGTTGCTATTCCATACCATATATGACACCCATACAGTAACTAAAAACAGTATTGTTTCACGTTGATGCGATTCTTAATATGGTTAACTTTCTGTGATGATTACCTGAAGTAGAACGAGATCTAAAAGTTCGTTCGTGAATATAGCCCACTTGCAGCATATGTATGTATGTATGTATGTATGTATGTATGTATGTGTGTGTGTTTGTGTGTGTGTGTGTGTATGCGTGTGTATGTGTGTGTGTGTGTGTGCGTGTGTATGTGTGAATATATGTAAATGTATATGCGTACGTGTGCGCGTGCATGCGTGTGCGGTCTCTGTGTTTGTGTGTATGCATGGATGGATGGATGGACGGATGTATAATCATAGATTTCTGGGGTGGACGCAACTCTGCTCAGCGAATCGCCGCGCCTCAGACGACTGGGTCGACCCAGTGTGTGATCGTGTGTGTGTGTGTGTGTGTGTGTGTGTGTTCGTGCATGTTTGTTTAGGTAGGTAGGTTGGTAGGTAGGTTTTCAGAAGTCAACATTTTGAAACATATTGTTTCAATAAGTGATATGGATTATCCGATATAATTCAAAGATTTATTAGAGAGGTGTAACACATCATCTCCTCTCGTATGGTTTGGACCATCAGGAAAGAACTGGTAAGTATATTCAATAGGAGGACTTGCAACACAACATCAGTCATGATGGGAAATTGTAAACTCAGTGGGTCTCAGGGAGGGCTTTTGTAATATATGTGAATTTGGATAATTTATCTTAAATGTCATTGAATTTGAACAAAACGAGAAATCCTGTTTCATGTTCTATATTTTTATGCTTTCAGATAGCAACATAATACAAATATACCATGTTTTAAAACCACAGATGTACATCATATGACGCATGCTTGTAGCATGGACCCTTTTTCGACATTAAGTTATCTCCAAATAATTAAATGTATCGAATATATGTATGTACAAAAACAAAGGAGAAAGGCGTTAGAATGCTAGGATTTCAAAACTGCCATTCACTGTTTCAGAAAAACAAGGCTGGGGAGCAAACATGGCGGAGAAAGGTAAGACACGTGTTGACCCTCGAATCACAACATAAGACTTTCCACCTGTGATGATCAGTCGGCGACTTCACACAATGACCAGACCCTGGAGGAATGCGCAGTTCAGAGATCATACAGAACTTTAAAGATGTCGGATCAACTACCTCAATAGTGTTAAACAAAACAATGCAGTATTTGGTCTTTGATTTGTATGATTACAGCTGATTAGCTGATGATTACAATTTTTACATTTTATTAAACTTCAATTATACTTGAATACTCTAAGCTTCTGCTGAAAATACAAAACAGTAATAAATGTAATAAGTCAGTAAAACCATAAGGTCCATTTGATACATGACATTGTCACTTGCATGTTATTTCGGTTCTCATTTTAAATTTTCTGTCTCCATATTGAAAGAATAGAGTGTAACACAATATACTCAAGCCCCTGCATAATTTGAAACCTCATGGTTGTACTAATCCTTCACGTACTAATCGACATGTACATACTTGTACTTGTTTGTTGTTTTACGCCGCACTAAGCAATATTCCAGCTATACGACGGCGGTCTGTAAATAATCGAATCTAGACCAGACAATCGAGTGATTTATATCATGAGCATCAATCCACGAAATTGTGATACCATGACATGCATCAACCAAGTCAGTGAGCCTGACCGCCCGATCCCGTTAGTCGACACTTACGACAAGCACAGTCGTCTTTTACGGCAAGCAGGGGTTGCTGAAGACCTATTCTACCCCGGATCTTCTCGGGTCTCATACTTGTAAGCCTGATCACACCATGTTGTCCATCCAGGTATGTCAATCAACGTCACCGGGAACCAAGGAACTGCCCACAACGTGTACGCCATCGGAATCCATCAAGGGACACTTAATGGTAGGTCTTCACTTGAACTCCTACACGCTTCGTATCATTTAGTAGCTTTATATGTCTGGGCATATATGCACGTAATGAACATGTTATCACCTGGGGAGGTCGGGTAGCCTAGTGATTAAAGCGTTCGCTCGTCACGCCGAAGACCCGGGTTTGATTCCCGACAATGTGTGAAGCACATTTCTGGTGTCCCCCGCCGTGATATTGCTGGTATATTGCTAAAAGCGGCGTAAAACCATACTCACTTACTCACTGTTATCACCTCGTCAACAAAATGGATATTTGCATTTTACCCTAATGGGAGAGCGATGGGGATGAAGTGACTATACTCAGCGAGAAAACAACACTCTCGAGTAACGCGATGGGCTCAATGATAAATTATACACTACATTTGATTGGCTAGGAAATTATAAATAATTACGACCTCATTTCTACAACCAGCAACATGATCGCTGTGGCAGGGTTGGATTTGATGACACAAAGACAGTCTACACACATGTGTTTTGGTAGAATATATATTTAATCTTTAGCTAATATGAACCTCAACCATTCTATTTGTTTTCTTTTATCGTGTTTCTACTTCCAACAACATTAAAATATATATTTAGACATCGGCAGAATGTACACAAACAATCCAAAATTGCTTCGCTCTTTTCCGTTAAAAGTTAAAAAATAGTATGTCGACTAAAGACAATACCTTATTTACCTATTATTGGATTTTATTCCTTTAACATAGACATGCTTGGTATATTCATGTGCACTTTAGTGATGCCAGGTCATATCTTATAACTGAACAGGCATGATCATCAGAATCCAGCATCGTGTCAACGAAATCACACTGCTACAACCAATCTGCTGTTTTATGACTTATGAAAGTTCCGTGAAATGGTAGAATAGACAAAACATTATTATTTCAGATAATCCAATCTTAAACCTCTATTCATGAATGATTTGTTTGTTTGTTTGTTGTTTAACGCCGCACTCAGCAATATTCAAGCTATATGACGGCGGTCTGAAAATAATCGAGTCTGGACTAGACAGAACAGTGATTAACATCATGAGCATCGATCCACGTAATTGGGACACGATGACATGCATCGACCATGTCAGCGAGCCTGACCACCCGATCCCCTAAGTCGCCTCTTACGACAAGCATAGTCGCCTTTTACGGCAAGCATGGGTTGCTGAAGACCCTATTCTACCCAGGATTTTCATGGTATCCATGAATGATATTTCCACAAAACATACTTGACACTTAATACAACCTCGTTGGCTGTCTTCAATAAGTTGCAAGACTATGCAAAGAAGGTTACGTCATGTCATGTTTATGTGGAAGACTAAATTGTACATAAAACCAATAGTATCATTGTTCATTATTCCCCGTACTTTGTCGGTGTTAACACTGACTTTCGTGGCAAATGAGTTATATTTTGATAGCAACTGGCGGTTCTTTACAGTTTTAGTTTCACTGTACTATACCAGGGTGAGTGATTTATTTCTTGTACGTTATCCTAAGACGTCAGGTGATTGCAAGGTCAAACAGTATCATTCAGTGTTCAGCGTTTTGTTTGGTTGTGATTATATCATTTAGAGGTTGTTTTGCGGATTGGCCTCAACAAAAAACAAATCCGAGAAGGTATTTTGAACATAAGACATGACTGTTTAACGTGTAGAATGCTTATAATGGGTTAAGGGATTGTATCACTTACAGTTCATGAAAAGAAACACGCTTTGTAATAGACGAGCACAAGTAGAGGATAAGGACAGTAGTGAAAGCTTGACAAATGGAATCCAATTATAGTGAGTGAGTGAGTGAGTTTTTGGTTTTACGCCGCTTTTAGCAATATTCCAGCAATATCACGGCGGGGGTCACCAGAAATGGGCTTCACACATTGTACCCATGTTGGGATTCGAACCCGGGTCTTCGACGTGACGAGCAAACGCTTTAACCACTAGGCTACCCGACCGCCCCGAATCCAATTATAACTTCCGTGAGACTGTAAACGTTACTTTAACTCATTCAATACAGAAATTCTGGTAGCTGTTTTGTTCTAAAATGCCATTAATACTGTTTTGCCTTCTTTTTTTAAGTAAACCATTCCACGGATGAAGACAGGCTACGCCATTTAAAAGGTAATGGTGAAACAATACCTTACTATATATGTTTCTTAATAAATGAATAAACATATATGCGATTCCTATATAATATGCACCGATAAAAGATTTTGTCTGTGAGTAAATAAGACTTAAACACATATTTATGCACTTCCCACCAATTTGTATCTGCATATCGTTTTGAAATATCAGTTTGTATTTCAGACCAAATAGGGAAAGACATTGAGATCTGGAACAGGGGAATGGTGAAAGTGTCTGCCATTGGAACCATCATTGAGAAGCTTCAAACAAGCCACCGATGGGTTACCGTGACGGGAAATGCCGGTGATGGGAAGACAACTCTTGCTTATATGGTGCTGAAACATCTACAGGATGAGGGGAAGGAAGTTTTTAAGATCGATACACCTGAGGACTTCTTCCTCATCTGCAGGAACGTTCCTAACAGTGTTATTTTGATAAATGATATTTTAGGCGCATTCGATTTTGATCAAAGAGCTTTCAGCACTTGGCTACCTGTGTTTCATATAATTTTAGAACGGCAGAAGAAGGAAACTGAACACAAAAATGTTCCAAGCATTATATTTGTGAGCAGGCTGAATGTTTTAGAAGCTGCAAGAAATCAACTGGGAAAATACGGAGATGTCATCCTGGGAGATGGTGCAATAGTCAATCCCGATAGGATGAACTCAGATAGGGAAAAACTTGAAATATTAAACTTTCATCTAGCCAGACATAATATAAGCGACATTCCAGAGAGCACAAAGGAGAAACTCAAAAGTCGGAGTCCGCATGGATTTCCTCATTGCTGTGAGATGTACGTTGAACTGCGAGCCAGTGGACATGCAGTTGATATTTTCAAATTCTTTTCGTCACCTCTCAAGTTCCTCAATTACACAACGCAGGTTTTGATTGATAAAGAGAAGTGTTTTGACCATTTTAAAATACTTCTGAAGGCAGGTGGACAGTTGGATATCTCAAGCGTCACAGATGCAACATTGAGAACAGAAATGCAAAGCACTGCTTCTAGTTTAATGGGAAGCTATCTTAAAACTAGTGAAAATGGTGTAGCATTCTCTCACCCTTCCATCCATGAGAGTGTGGCAGTAGCAGTTGGAAACAAAGACCCTGTCTTTGCTGCACAAGAGTTTCCTATTTCACTCATCATGCAAAAATGTACAATGGGGGTGCCGAAGGAATCGGAAAATCATTTGTACATCTTCTTCAGTGATCATCCTCTGCTATGGACGCACTTATGCAGAGGATGGCAACTGAAATTCGTGACGGGAATTACACTGTGATACAACATAAGTTGTGCTGGGAAAGGAAGTTCTGTGAAATGTTGATAGAGTCCTGTGTCTGCAACACATTGTTCCCTTTTGGCAAGGTAAGAAAAGAAATCCTACCAGGTTCACCATTTGAACTATTTGTATTTGACCTTTCTTTGTTTATCAAATCTATAATGATACCTTTGACCAGTTCTAAGGGTAAATAAGGAAGGGTCTCAGACACACTCTAAATAGTAAAACAAGACTCGTTTCATCCTTGTCCCTAAATATGCATTCTGGAAAGCATGCAATGCTTATAGTTGAAAAGGATAGCTTATAAAGTGAGACCTAGAGTCAAAAGAAATACTGAGCGTCACATTGTCAAGATTCGGAATACATCATACCTGTAGGTGACCCGCCAGGATATAAGGGACCTCATGGGCGGAAATTCACATTTTCACTTCTCATTATATTTTAAAACTACAGTATCTTCGGAACATAAAAATACAATTTTCAAGCTTCAGTTCAAATATATTACAGAGACACATGACATCAGACATTTGGACTCATTATCCGACTCTGAAAGGTTTTGAAATAACGCGTTTTTATTATATTACGAACTGACGAGAGAAAAATAAGATATTTTTGAACAATCCGCACACATGGCGATCTTCATTGAAGAGAGCTGACGAGAAATATGTCAAATTTGGGATGTGTGAAACAGTAATATTTTATTCCTACCTAAATTCTGTTGCAGGCATGGAACTGTGTTGGTATCAACCAGAGAGACAGTACAGGGAGAACACTGCTCCATGCAGCTGTTGGGTGTCACAACTACACTGCAGCAAAGATACTACTGGAACGTGGGGCAAATGTAAATATTTCTCCAAAACAAGACACAAAGAGTTTTCTTGCCGGTATAGCCCAAAGCATCCTCGAAAAAGACCCACATCGTATTGTCAGGATTATGGCATATGGGGAGACTGTACTTCATTATGCGTGTAAGAATCGAGATGTAGATGCCATTATAATTCGCCTGCTAACTGATCATGGAGCACACATCAATAGGGTTGATGAGAATGGAGAGACAGCCTTGCACTACCTATGTCAGAGAGAAGAAGAAGATGACGGGATTTCACATGGTGGATGGAGAGGACTTTACAAAGCCTTCTCAAAAGCCGTCGCAAGAACCATGGGCAGTGGGCAGAGGTACAGAGCGTCGAACAGAGATAGCATGGTCTTCCAGGCAGACAACTGGCAGACATTGTTGGACCATCTATGTCAGAAATATGGTATAGATGAAAAGGAACTAGATATTACACGAAGTTCTTGTGGGAATAGACAATTGGAAGCAGAGACAGAAGAGGCCAAAGTTATTACAATGCTGATCCAAAATGGGGCGGATGTCAACAAGACTGATAAATATGGGCAGACAGCCTTTCATCTGCTGTGTCAGAGATCTCGTGTAGATGTCAGAACAGTTCATCTGTTGCTCCAAAATGGTGCTAGTGTGAACGCTGCTGATAATAATGGAAACACACCTCTGCACTACATCTGTCAGCGCCACAAAGCAGACATCAGTACCTTGTATCTACTGACAGAACGCAGTGTTGATTACACACTGAAGAACAAATATGGAAACACAGCAATCTATTTTCTGTGTCAGAGTCAAAATGTCAGACTTGGCAATTTTCCAAGGTAGTTAGGATTTTGAGTGAAATCACGTGCTCCTCCTGCAGTCTTACTGATTTCGTATTGTCCTCTTCAGTTATTGTCTGTGAAGGACGAAAGAAGCAGTCTATGAAGTTTTTATTGTTGACTTTATTTATGAGAATTTCGAATTGACTTCATGAATTTTGCACTTATGGAGTTTTTACAGTAAGATAAATATAATATTGTATTAGCATGTAAACGTGCTATTAAGTACTTGTGTACAATATGCCAGAATCACGTTTTGTAAATACATGTTAATATTTATCAAAGCTCGGCTGCGGTGTCTGTGGATCGAAGAGGGTCAAGCACATTCTATTCTCTTTTGTCCTGGGTACGTATGTGAACAGCAATTTATAAGCTACATTGTCAGCTTCATGACTTAATTGAAAGTTGAATAGGAGTAACATCCTTATCATCACGTCCAACATTAATATATGTTTACTAACTGAAGGATATGTGTCCAGATTGGCAGAGCATCCATTTACTCCGACACGAAGAGCTGATTGTCATGTAGACATGGCGCTCGTCCTCAGCGTTGTCTTCAAAGTAGCATTTCTACAAGATAGTTGCAACATCACTTCTAAATATAAGTATACATAACTTTATTGTTTTAATAAACTCCATAAATAGCATTCCAGATGGAGTTGTGGCTATTAAACCAGGGCCCCGTTCCACAAAGAGATCTTAGCGCTACGATCATCGCAAGCCTATGTTTAAGTATGGGAGTTACGATCATCTTAGCGCTACGATTATCGCAAGCCTATGTTTAAGTATGGGAGTTACGATCATCTTAGCGCTACGATCATCGTAAGCCTATGTTTAAGTATGGGAGTTACGATCATCTTAGCGCTACGATCATCGCAAGCCTATGTTTAAGTATGGGAGTTACGATCATCTTAGCGCTACGATCATCGCAAGCCTATGTTTAAAAATGGGAGTTACGATCATCTTAGCGCTACGATCATCGCAAGCCTATGTTTAAGTATGGGGGTTACGATGATCTTAGCGCTACGATCATCGTAAGCCTATGTTTAAGTATGGGAGTTACAATCATCTTAGCGCTACGATCATCGCAAGCCTATGTTTAAGTATGGGAGTTACGATCATCTTAGCGCTACGATCATCGCAAGCCTATGTTTAAGTATGGGAGTTACGATCATCTTAGCGCTACGATCATCGTAAGCCTATGTTTAAGTATGGGGGTTACGATGATCTTAGCGCTACGATCATCGTAAGCCTATGTTTAAGTATGGGAGTTACGATCATCTTAGCATTACGATCATCGCAAGCCTATGTTTAAGTATGGGAGTTACGATCATCTTAGCGCTACGATCATCGCAAGCCTATGTTTAAGTATGGGAGTTACAATCATCTTAGCGCTACGATCATCGTAAGCCTATGTTTAAGTATGGGAGTTACGATCATCTTAGCGCTACAATCATCGTAAGCCTATGTTTAAGTATGGGAGTTACGATCATCTTAGCGCTACGATCATCGTTAGCCTATGTTTAAGTATGGGAGTTACGATCATCTTAGCGCTAATATCGCTTTGTGGAACGAGACCCAGGAAGATAGTTAGAGTTCCCAGAGGAAACATTAACTATATTGTTTTGTGAAGTCACAGTTAATCACAGTTTGAGATAAATATTTATCTTTAAACATGCATTTCTCACCAAACATGTCAACTGTAATTACAAACGCATGGGATATTAGCATTCAGTATATTTCATGGTTTGAAATATAGAAACACTTAATTCATCATCTATCATGTGCACATGATATTTTCGTGCTGTTCTATTTTTAGTACAGTAAACTACGGTTATAACGAACTCTTAGGGACCTCTAATTTTAGTTCGTTATAACCGTAGTTCGTTATAAGCATATATACAGCATAACTACAGCAAATAGTCGGGACAAAAAAGTAAGTTCGTTATATCCGTCAGTTCGTTATAAGCGTGTTCGTTATAAACGTAGTTTACTGTATTCTGATAAAGCATTTCTTTCTTGACACAATACCGTACACTATAAAATGCATTTGGTTTGTTGGCATTGTCAAAGTATAAATTTTAAGTCTGAATAATAAAGAGGAAATTACCAGCCGAATGTGCGTTATGTGTTATCTTTATTTCGACACTGACTGTGTTGCAATAGGTTCACCAACCTCCTGAAAGGATAATTGTAATTGTGTTTGAAATATAACCTTCTTCCAGATAGCTTGACAATAATCTTTTCAGTTAACAAAAACAAAACATACTTTGTGTTTTCTGGCAAAGAAATTTTGCAAAGTACATTCGTTGTGTATTTACGTTGTTTTTACCCCGCAGTCAGCAATATTCCAGCTATATGACGGCAGTCTGTTATTGAGCGAGTCTGGACCAGACCATCCAGTGATTGACATCATGAGCATCGATCCACGCAATTGGGATACGATGACATGCATCAACCATGTCAGCGAGTCTGACCATCCGATACCGTTGGTCGTGGTTAGACAAGCACAGTCGCCTTTTACGGCAAGCATGGGTTACTGAAGACCTATTCTACCACGGATCCTCACGGGTCCAATATGGTCATGGCTAAATTTTATATGATATGGGAAATTTGATCATGGATGAATTTGATTTGTTTGTTGTTTAACGCCACACTGAGAATCATGCCAGGTATATGACGGCAGTGATTTCCGCCATTGGTCAAATGTGGATATCGTCGACACCAATTCTGATTTATCCCTGTGGTTTACATTAAAGAAAGCACTAAAAGGGACCCAGGATTCTTACTTTGCTGTTGAAAACTCCAAACATTACTTTCAAGAACAAATAGAGATCTTTGAGTGAGTGAGTGAGTTTGGTTTTACGCCGCTTTGTGATTCTCTACTCGTAAATCTCTATCCCCATAATGCTTTACCTGAGACCCGTGAAGGTCGGGGGTAGAATAGGTCTTCAGCAACCCATGCTTGCCGTAAAAGGTGACTATGCAACTAATGGGATCGGGTGGTCGGTGCATGTCATCGATCCCAATTGCGTGGATCGATGCTCATGATGTCAATCACTGGATTTTCTGGTCCAGACGCTATTATTCACAGACCGCCGTCATATAGCTGGAACATTGTTGGGTGCGGCGTAAAACAACAAACAAACATGTACATGTAAACTTATGTGACATAAAGCTGATTCATTGACTGAGCATGGATCTTCGCAATTGGGATACGATGACATGGATCAACCAAGCAAGCGAGTCTGAGCATCCGATTCATTTAGTCGCCTCTGACGACAAGCATGGGTTGCAGAAGACCATTTCTAACCCGGATCTTCACGGTTGATATTGGAGGGGAAAATTATCAGAATGGATACATTTTATATTAAAGGGAATATGCGAACTGGATACATTTTTATTATAGGGAATATGCCAACTGGATACATTTATATTAAAGGGGATATGCGAACGGGATACATTTTATATTAAAGGGAATATGCGAACTGGATACATTTTTTATTACAGGGAATATGCGAACTTGATAGATTTATATTAAAGGTGATATGCGAACTGGATACATTTTATATTAAAGGGAATATGCGAACTGGATACATTTATATTATAGGGAATATGGGAACGGGATATTTTTTATTATAGGGAATATGCGAACGGGATACATTTTATATTAAAGGGAATATGCGAACGGGATATATTTTATATTATAGGGAATATGCGAACTGGATACATTTTATATTAAAGGGAATATGCGAACTGGATACATTTTATATTAAAGGGAATATGCGAACTGGAATTCATTTTATATTATAGGGAATATGCGAACTGGATACATTTATATTAAAGGGAATATGCGAACGGGATACATTTTATATTAAAGGGAATATGTGAGCAGGGTACATTTTATATTAAAGGGAATATGCGAGCTGGATACATTTTATATTAAAGGGAATATGCGAACTGGATACATTTTATATAAAAGGGAATATGCGAACTGGATACATTTTATATTAAAGGGAATATGCGAACTGGATACATTTGATATAAAAGGGAATATGCGAACTGGATACATTTTATATTAAAAGGAATATGCGAACTGGATACATTTTATATTTAAGGGAATATGAGAATGGGATACATTTTATATTAAAGGGAAATTAGCGAACTGGATACATTTTATATTAAAGGGAATATGCGAACTGGATACATTTTATATAAAAGGGAATATGCGAACTGGATACATTTTATATGAAAGGGAATATGCGAACTGGATACATTTATATTAAAGGGAATATGCGAACTGGATACATTTTATATTAAAGGGAATATGTGAACTGGATACATTTTATATTAAAGGGAATATGTGAGCAGGATACATTTTATATGAAAGGGAATATGCGAACTGGATACATTTATATTAAAGGAAATATGCGAACTGGATACATTTTATATTAAAGGGAATATATGAACTGGATACATTTTATATTAAAGGGAATATGTGAGCGGGATACATTTTATATTAAAGGGAATATGCGAGCTGGATACATTTTATATGAAAGGGAATATGCGAACTGGATACATTTTATATTAAAGGGAATATGCGAGCTGGATACATTTTATATTGAAGGGAATATGCGAACTGGATAGATTTATATTAAAGGGGATATGCGAACTGGATACATTTTATATTAAAGGGAATATGCGAACTGGATACATTTATATTATAGGGAATATGGGACGGGGTAATTTTTATTATAGGGAATATGCGAACGGGATACATTTTATATTATAGGGAATATGCGAACTGGATACATTTATACTATAGGGAATGTGGGAACGGGATTCATTTTTATTATAGGGAATATGTGAACGGGATACATTTTATATTAAAGGGAATATGCGAACTGGATACATTTTATATTAAAGGGAATATGCGAACTGGAAACATTTTATATTAAAGGGAATATGCGAACTGGATACATTTTATATTAAAGGGAATATGCGAACTGGATACATTTTATATTAAAGGGAATATGCGAACTTGATACATTTTATATTAAAGGGAATATGCGAACGGGATACATTTTATATTAAAGGGAATATGCGAACTGGATACATTTTATATTAAAGGGAATATGCGAACTGGATACATTTATATTAAAGGGAATATGCGAACGGGATACATTTGATATTAAAGGGAATATGTGAGCAGGGTACATTTTATATTAAAGGGAATATGCGAGCTGGATACATTTTATATTAAAGGGAATATGCGAACTGGATACATTTATATTAAAGGGAATATGCGAACTGGATACATTTTATATTAAAGGGAATATGTGAACTGGATACATTTTATATTAAAGGGAATATGTGAGCAGGATACATTTTATATGAAAGGGAATATGCGAACTGGATACATTTATATTAAAGGAAATATGCGAACTGGATACATTTTATATTAAAGGGAATATATGAACTGGATACATTTTATATTAAAGGGAATATGTGAGCGGGATACATTTTATATTAAAGGGAATATGCGAGCTGGATACATTTTATATGAAAGGGAATATGCGAACGGGATACATTTTATATTAAAGGGAATATGCGAACTGGATACATTTTATATTAAAGGGAATATGCGAACTGGATACATTTATATTAAAGGGAATATGCGAACGGGATACATTTGATATTAAAGGGAATATGTGAGCAGGGTACATTTTATATTAAAGGGAATATGCGAGCTGGATACATTTTATATTAAAGGGAATATGCGAACTGGATACATT